GAGTAGTTACTTCAAGTAAGTGTCCCTTTTTAAAAACATGTTATATGACGAGTGGGATCTCTGTTCCTCAAATGTCATACATCCAGTAAGTAATACGGCATAGTGTTCCGCAGAGGAGCTAAAGGAGAAAGGGCAGAAATGTATTGGACATAGTACCCACCTTATCTTATCTTACCCAATGAACAATAACGAAGCTGTGTGTCGTAAGATAGTACTTCTTATGACTATCATTGTTACTATGGGCGCAAATCTCAATAAGATCTGGGGAAAATTTGTAGAAAAAAAAACAGAAATTAAAGACAGATTTAATTTAGTTAAAACTATATTCCCACAGCGAATTGAGACTAGCCCCAATAGTAACGAATAGTCGTGGAAAGAGCTTTCCGATAGCATACGTCTGGTCATGTACCCACCGACCAATAGGTCAGTGGGTACATTTCGCCCGTCCTCTTTACTAAAAATTATGGCATTTTGAGCTTCCTGAAAGCTACTGCTACTGGGCTCAAGAAGATACCAAAGAAGTGCATTTTTAAGTATAAGTAGATTCTTTAAAAAAAGTAAGTATAACGAATGAGTGTTTTGCCCACTTCCTTGTCCGCTTCTACAACGAACTATTGACATGCAATGAAATAGTAATTGTAGAGACAAAGATGAAATCCGTTCATGAACCAATGAATTACTTCAAATGACAAAATATGTCATTCCACTAACGAGAAATACAAAATTCTCTAAAACCGCTAGTCGCCATAGCTATAAACGATGATTTTACCCGACTGCGATAGAAGGAGGATTATTTAGTTACTCATTGCTACTTTCGGTTGAAAGTTAGATCGTTTTTTTTATATTTGCTCGCTTACAAAACAACTTTTACTTTTCAGGAGAACTGCACAGCTCTATCCAACGGTTAGAATTGATAATTTACGGGCAAATGCAGCAGCTGTGGCAGAGTCTCGACGCTTTGCGAGGACAACTCTCGGGAGATGCGCGCATTAACTACCCAGATCGACGGACGTTGAGTTTCAGATATAAACCGAGTGTGTAGCAACGTGGTTGCGTAAAGCTAGCGAACATTTTATATGGAACACTTCCATTCTATTGTCCTGGTACAATAACGATTCTGAGAACACTCAGTTTAGAGTGAACGGAATTAGACTCGTGTGCGCCTCGATCTTATTATAACACTGTCTGTAACAAAAGCGCAATTTTCGTTTATCAAATGGAATATTAACAAAAATAATCTTTATAAGCCTTGAACACAATGCTTAACTTTCTTAATAGAGTAAACTCGTCGAGTTTTGTTAATAAAGGTATGTTAACAACAAGTATTAATTAAAAATAATTTTACATTTGGCTATTTTTATTTATTTATTAGTCTGTATATTAAAGTACGTACGGGGCGGTTCTAAGTATATATGTACTGTATTTAACGTTGTGTCCAAATTTCTATGAGTACGCAATAAGTGGGTATCCGATTGAAAATGTATCATCTAACTAAAATAATAGCTCTAGGAATGTCTTGTTAAGTAAGTAGCCTGTATAGCATTTCGATGAGACATCAACAAACCATCAACACAGGTCTGCACTTTCGGCACCTTCTTGAAATTGGAAGAGTACTGTCAGCTCCATAAAAATCAAAAAATTTCGAAGAAATATAAATTGAATTTTGTATGCGCTGTTGGATAATCTTAGTATTGTAACCGGTCAGAGTGGTCAATATTATCGAAATAAAATAATTCATAATAATATGGTATATGTTAAGATAATCAATTCATATTCACGAATAACTGTTTAATGGTATCAAAGCACTCAAAGTTATCAAAAATATCTTGGTAATAAAAAGTTAACGCTAGTCTGAGGTATTACGGTTCTTATGTTTTCATTTCATGCATGACCTGATTGAAGTGTCTTTTGTTGGGCCTAAAGATGCGATTCCATTAGGCAAGTATAATTTAATTATGTTTTTTTACATTATCTATGTACTTATGCAAGATGCAAATTACAAGCCACTTGAACAAACCTGCGTATAAGCTGCAAGTTGCGTGTCAGTTGTACATTTTAATTCAAGTGGAACGTGGAAATAACGCTTGCACTTTGAATTGGGCGTCAATTCAAAGTACAAGCGTTATTTCCACGTTCAGACGTTAACTTTTTCAATTGGGAACATCTCCACTTGTATGCAAAGTAAAACCTGCATACAATTTACACACTCTCGAAAACATATTTTCAACGCTAGCAACCTGTATATGTTACGTCATATTTGTATGCAAAACCTGCGGAATGGGATCGTGCATTAAGTATTCTGAAACAATTAAATTCAAATAGACAAAGGTCAGGCACACATGTAGTGTTGCCTAAATGCAAGAACAAAACGAGACTTAACCAGTCTTGGTCTTGGTCTTGGTCTTGCAGCAAGAGTCTTGCAAGTCTTGCAATAACCTATTAGACTATTGCTATTTATTAAAGTTTACTTTAGATCTTAGAAAAATGTATTAGAATTGGAACATTGTGAGCTTGAATTAACATAGCCATAGTAAAGACCAATCAGATTAATAAATGTCTGAAGATTTGATAAGAAATTCAAAAAATCAACTGCCACATGGTTATCAACTGAGCTATATGCCGTTTTCCATAAGTAGGTAGGTAATATTTTATTAGTTTTGTAGATTTTTTTACACGTTTCAAGTATAAACGTTTAAAAAGTGGCTACAATATTTATGAAACGGGTGATATTTGACCACTTTTTTGCTATTTTTTCTTGTAAATTTTGGAATTTTGGAAATTAGAATTTTGCATGAGTATACCTAGGCCCTGTGGCGGCAATCAAATAGTGTCAAATGTGATTTCGGCGCGGCGGCAACGATTGTTGTATGTGATTTCAATAGAAGCCGCCGGCGCGTGTATCATCACCATGTACTTCCGAAAAGCGGCAAATTTCTTTGAGAAGTCAGTACAAAACCTTTGATGCCGCATTATCAAAGTGCCGATGGTTAAAACAAAACTATGCATGCACGATGTTTGATTTTAATGGATATTTTTTTATTCGCTATGTATGTTTATGGTATTGATCGTAAGCTACGGCTAGGCAACGCCGCGCATACGGTTCGCCGCCCGCTGCCGGTTAGGAGGCACTAGTTCAATCAGTTTGAATCCGGCGTAAGTGAGCGGAGGGGCATGGACGAAGAGACGTAAGCTAGGGTACGGAGAGACGTAAACGCGGTAACTGCAAGTGGACCACGCACCGCGGCTCTGGAGCTTGTCCCGAATCGAGACGATTACGTTGCGATTCCAATTAGTGTGCGTTACAGTCCGAAGTTTTATACAAAGAATACTGATCGGTTCGAGTTGATACGGTGGCGATCCTTTTCCAAGTTTATATGTGTGCAATTTAAATAAAATTAAAGGTTGTACCTTTTAATATTATGAAGCTGACTGTACCTAATAAAAACAATTTTTGTCCAATAAAAATGATATCTAACAATATTACGCAGTCTATTTTGTATCTAACAATAAATTTGTAGTAGCCAATCTAATCTAGAAATTAGCTTTGATTAGGTAATAGCATGAGTGCGGCGGTAACGTACTTAGTGGTAGATAATAGGTAAGCACATTTGTCCAATGGCCCCCCACGACAACGGCTATCTAATGCCGAGGTAAGAGTCTCAGAGACACCCTCTAGTAGAGCCGACCCCCTCAGGTTCGAGTGGTCTAAAGGCTCCAGACCAGTGGCGGACTAAGCCCGTCAGAGGCCCGGGGCGGCAAATCTGAATGAGGCCCTCAGCTTTAAAAAAATGTTGATTCTTATGTTTATTTCGTTAAAACCAGTCTTGTCAAATTCACCATAACTTTGTATCAGATTGTCAACTACTACAGCCAGAGCGTCATCTGAAGCTTCTAACATAAACTTTGTTTCAATAATTTGGAAAATAATTTTGATTTGCTTAATAGCCCAATTCGAAAATTCTTGTACATATAAAGCGGTCTGTGCATTCATACATTGACCGACGTATTTCATCTTGAATTGATAATCCAGCATCACGAGCCGATTCACCCGGTATCGTTCTTTTTACCTTCACTTTCCCTGGTTTCTTGATGTTGATGAACCACCTAAATACTTATTCAAGGCGTTTAGTTTGGTGATTCCTGTATCCAGAGTCATTAGAGACCGCAAATATTATTAGACTTAAATAGAATGTAGTGAATGTAAATGTATGCAAAAAAGAGTAAGGGTGTATTCCGAAATATAAACAAGTACGCTTGCCAGCGGTAATGAAGTCATGACTTCGACGCCACATTGCACTGGTGTAGTAGTAGTGTTGTCAATATGGCATCGAAATCATAGCGTCATTACCGCTGGCCAGCGTACTGGTGTATATTTCGGGTATATTATTAATACACCCTAAATTATTTGCACTTCATTCATTCAGGGATTCCTGAGGAAGTACCCGCTACAAAGACGGGAATTCCCCCAGTGTATTGGACGCGTTTAGCAAGGTTAAAAAAATATTAGTACCGCGTAAAAAATCTAGATTACTGTAGTGTTTTGATCTTGATGAAATTATGTAGGTACTAAGCTCATTTTTAAAGTCTTGTTTAGGATTTGATCAGGGTAACTCGGAGGCATTTGGGTGCCCCCCAAGATCGGGGCCGCTCCTTCCACCCCCCTGTTAGTCCGCCACTGCTCCAGACAGACACGAGCCTCCTCCGAGGGAAAATGCCATCCGCCTGAAATATCTCTAGACTTTGACACACTCGGCAAAAAAAAACTTCTTAACTTGGAACATTCAATTGAACCGGCTTTAATAAGTCGACAGCATCTTTGTCAATATGAAATTAGAAGGTCGTTTAACGTCGCAGATTAATTTATCATATTTTTGTTAACTACAGTTATTGTAGTTTTCTACAATATGAGAATATATGAGAAACTTGTGGTAATTCTCCTGAATATAAGAATTTTATATTAGATAGATTGGGAAAAATTAAGGATATACAGTCGCCCATATTTTAATTTGAAATAAAAGATATGAATTAATAAATTTCAATTTATTAACAAATTAGTAACTGAATAGCTCAGGTTTACATGGTTCACTTCAATTCATATCAACACTTGGACGATAACGTGAACTGAACCGTGTAATAACAATAAAATAATCCGTTAGTTACAAAAGTTAAGTTAATCGACTTAACGCCTAAATGCCATTAATAAATATTAACAAATAAACAATATTATTATGCTCTCCTAGGACTAATTCTTTTTGCATTACATTATGTACTATAAGAAAGAAATGGAATATAAAGAAAAAACTATACATACATAATTGTTAGAGATTTAGATTTATAAGAGATCCCTAAATAATGGACGGATTGGATTCTAATGATATAATATAATTTTGTATATTCTAATAATACACATCACCTGTGTGACAAAAAAAAACAATTTAATATATTCAAAGATTTATACAGATAAGTCACTCACTTTCTCTGAAATGGTTCTATAAAAATTATTACATTAAATTCTTTAAGGAAGTGCGAAAGAAAGTGTCATAAACAATCCCCTATCTTCCACGCGATAAAAGAGCGCAGTAAAGCAGATTTTGAAATAAGATACGAATATGCCTAGCAATAATGTTTAAATCCGCTTGCAATTTAGAACTGTACTCGTAGAGTATGATTCGCAATTAAGTCTTTACTTTCACTTGTCTTGTCAAAGTCTAAACCCGTTACTACAAAACGTGAACCTAATTCTATGTCTCTCTTCTTTTTACCAATAACGGTGAAAATATCGTTACTACACCGGATTTCAACAAAAGTCAAGTTATAATAATATAAGTTATTTACGGGAATTTTACCATACATGTACGTTGTTTTGAGCGAGTTTCCGATATTTCGCCACTGTTGCAAGCGCCATGATCGCATGATCTGAATGAAAGTTTAAAACAATATATAAGTCAAGTTTTTGTAGTACCGGGGTATTTGTAAACTTTAAAAGAGTCTGTCCTTATCAATTTTTATAAGCAATGGAAAGGACAGACAGATGACAAGTTTATAAATAGCAAACACGAATAGCCAAGTGAAGTACCGGCATATGCTTCTATTATCTGGATTCCTGACCTGCAATACAAGATTCACTTGTATGTGAAACATTTTTGAAATAGTAATAAACCTTGTTATCACTTTAGCGACTTGATAGAGACAAGATAACATATGATATTATAACAAGATTGACATGACACACCAAACACTACGTGTAAGATATTGGGACAAAATTAACATCCTATGAATATGAAATTGTTCTTGTTTATTTACAAAAAAATAACCCAAGTTTATCTGAATACTAACTCACTATATTCTTTATTACAATGAGATTCTGTTACACCATATAAACAATGTCTTTTGATCCAGTTCATTAATTTACAGAGATATTCCAGATTGTCGTAGCCGATTTTTAATTGATAGAACCAAGATTACTTACGTGTTAGATCACTTGCGATATTTAGTTAGGGGGAAATTTATCCAAACCAGACTTTTTAAATTTTCTACAATGAGTTTTTCTAATCACAGTTAATAAACTATATTTACCAATTAAAATTTACCAAAAAAATCTTCAGAGGTTCGATAATACATATACCACCAAAATGTTAGAACTGTGATTAGAAATTTAAATAAGGCAATACATATTTGGACGATTTTTCACTTAATATCCGCAAGAGGTCGGTCGGTTTATTTAGGTGGGCTAAGTCTAAGGTATTCTGTGGTCAGGCAGCTGTCGCTTGTATGTAGCGCCTTAGTTCTTCTTGTGTGTCGAATATCATAACGGGGAACGGCGATCCGGGAACGTGTCGCCCGGCCCATCTTACCTCTACCCGGTAGTCACCCGGTTCAGTAGGCGAGAACTGGGGACAAAACAAATTATATCTGTAATTATCCTAATAAACCTTCATTAGCCTATTAATGTTGCTTAAACTGCTGGGGCACAGGCCTTCCCTATGGATGGAATAGAGAGATTAGGCCATGACCCACCACGCGGGCCCAGTGCGGATTGGCGGGTGCTAACGACTGCAGATGTAGACGGGAACAATGGTTTAACATGCCTTCCGAAGCACGGAGGAACTCGAGATAGAAGATTTTCGGTCACCACTGCGAAAGTTTCAACTTCAACGATCGTAGCCGAACTCGCTAACCACCCGCGCCATCGATCCTCAATATAATAATAAACCTTATTGAATTGAAATATCAAATTCCCTTTATTAAAAAAAGGCAGAATCTAAGTTTTTCCTGTAGCAATAAGTGTGATAATTACAGGTTACACATACAGATGGTAAAAAACATAATTTTACTAGTGTTACGGATCTTGTCGGGCACACAGCTTGAGAAGAGAAGAGAGGAAACATGTCGTTCAATCAATCAATGCCATAAAGTTAATTTTCCAAGAGGAGTATTATTATTTGATCTGTACCGAATTGGTTCGCTTATTTGAGTACTAAATTAATCATTTTTATTTATATTTACAAAATACAACGCGGCCAATGGCAATATAACTAGATACGGAGAGCTAATATTTGACGTCAAGGTCCCGTTTGACATTTTAAATTATTTTAATTTGATATTTTACGATTAAATGTCAACGTTCTTTTTCTATAATTCAAGATAATGTTTAAGATCTTTTATCCTATCCTAACTTGCTGTTTTTCATGTCTTCAAGTTCTTATTACATATTTTTTATACTTCCATAAAAAAAGGCAAGACATTTTTATCTATTTTTCTAACTTAATGCGGTCGATGTTTACTTCAGTTAGTTCCATTTGAAACATGATTGTTTTTGAATTTTATCATCTATAACCAATTAACGGTTGATATAAATGGTAATAGAACAATTCTTCGGCAATGATAGCAATTAGATTGCCTATCCATGATAAGCCAGCGATAAATTTAAATCAGTTTCGTAAATCTGAGATATTTTGTTAATTAGGTATTTTTCCGTCTGTGTGTTGTAAACGTTTAATTAACCTTTAACGATGATGAACAATTTTCCGATATAAATTATTGGGATTGTGTCGAATTCTTTTAATGTTTAACGGGGTCTTATGTATTGAAATACAGTTAAACAATAAACGTTGTCCCCCTTACTACAAAACGAGGGCTAAAGTTAGCCTTGGTGTGAACCTAATGTTGTCTTTCTCTTCTTTTTAGTAAACAAAAGTGACAGCATCAGTTTTAGTCCAGGTTTAACATTAGCCTATGTTTTGTAGAAAGGCCAATAAGTCAGCAAAGTCATTAGGGCCCAATTAATTTAAATAGAGATCTCATCTCAAGAATCTGCCATACAATGATGTCAAGTTGACATTGACGTTTTGACACTTTTCTTTGGATTACATCTAGTTTTTGTTGAATCGAGATCAAGCAAATGTCCTGCAAGTGAGCCTTGAACATAGAATATTATACTGAAAACGTGCATTTGCCATACAGACTATATTAATATTTATCTATAGCTGCACTTAGATGTTAATCAATTTCTAGGTTTGATTTACTTCTTAACGATAGCAACAGTATAATTAAATAACTTATACGAGCATTAAGGTTTTATTGACGTCGCTGATAACAGTAAAGTATCATAGAAGAGACAACGTGATATTTGTATAGAAAGTTATGAAAAATCATCTATAAAGGATATGGCATACCAGTGGAAGATAGAGAACAGAGCGCACACATCTTTTTCTATAGTTACTATATTCTTTTTTACTATACTTTTGTGGAATGATCTTCCGCTAGATATCAGAATGTCCCCCCGTAAATATACCTTTAAAACCAAACTGCGAAGCTATTTATTAGAACAGGTGTTTCGTTGAGTGGATTGTCGTCATTATTTTGTATTTATTTTGGAAGTATGTATGTATTTATTTAAATTTATTAATTTATCTATGTATATGTGTATATATTATTATTTATATTTATTACTATTTATTTTTCTTTCAATGTAATTTCCACCTCAGTTGTGCACCCTTCCACTAATAATCTCCACAACATCCTATGCTTGACTGGTAGAGAATGCCTACGGCATTTGTGCATAAACAATAAATAAATTAATCTTTCGCTTCCTTTGTTAACACAACACTTTTATTCCACAAAGGCTTACCTTGCATAAAATGGTGCGATCCTTCTGGTTTTCTCGTTGCATCTCCACTCGGAATGCTCCTTTGGGGCCGCGCACTCGCACTGTCAACTGACCAGCGCCGGCGCCGCGGGTGTCGCAGAAGAACCGCGATTGGAACGTCGCTAACACTCCGGGTTCGACTCCGGGTCCGTAAACGCGTACCTGGTAAAATATTTGTTATCAGAAGAATCCTTACAGACAAGAAATAGGATTTTGAAGAATCTTGCTTTATATGAATTGGCACATAAACAGACTGTTTATGTGTCTTAAGAGACCAGTCCAGTATGGACGTTTATAAAGCTGAATAGCCACTGGCAAGGAGTGATGAGACATTTTTATATAAATCGCGTTGCATATATTCACAGTATTCTGGGTTTAATAGTAATTGGGAACCATTATTAAGAATCTCCAAATGACTCAATTATTTTAAATTTTTCCCTTCCTCCATCTCTACTGTTTATGACTGAATTGTAAAAAAATAGGGTGTCACCCCACCTCCGCTGGGTTCACGTTTAGCGTGACGTCATTGTGCCTTTATACCAGCCCCCCTAGCATGAGCACCGCGATATGATGTGAGGAGCTGGCGAACAAAACTGAATGGCATACCTACAGTGAGCTTTTGGCATGGTTTTTAATTTAGAAATTTAGTAATTTTAACACTGTTTTAGGCGATTTTGATTGAAAATTATTTGAGATTCAAATTCAACGGGCTCGCAACCTTCCAGACTGTAATAAAATGTAGTTTGATCAGATGCGTAATTATACCGTTTTGTTCGCCAGCTCCTCATATAGGTATAATGCGTTTTCACGCTTCATTGGCAAATTACTATGGCGTTTGACAGACGCGATAAAAAACGTGATATAATGTAAATGGTAATGCTCAGGCTACGGGGGCAGGGCCGGATTTAAGACAGGGCCTTGGCAGATGGGTCACATGAGGGGGCAAAGAAAACAAATGTCGACGGGTCGGGGGGGTCATATATTTCTCACTTTAGACGGGTCCGGCGCGCCGGCCACCTTGAGCACGAAGGGCGAGCCGGGCACGTGGTCGCCGGCGAACTGCACGCTCAGCACGTGTCGTCCCGCCTCCGCCGGTTTTACGTTCAATGTGAACGTGCCGTCGCCGTGCTCGTACAGTTCGCAGTATGCCACCTGCAACCAACCATCTATTGTTATACAATCTCAATTTTGAAATTACAGTAGAACGCTGATTATCTGAATTAATTGGGACCGGGGTCGATTCGGATAATCGAAAATTCGGATAATCGGACATAGACTGGTAATAAAGAGAAACGAATTGTCACACATAGAATAAACCTTATAAGTTTAACAAACACAGTTCTAAAATACTAAATACAATAATACATAATAGCAAAAAAAACGCGCCACGCAAAACATGTAGTGTCTTGTCTCTAGCGTTCAACCATAACAGTTGATATATATGGACTCCAGTAAGTTCCAACTTGTTACAACAAAACAAAATAAAAATAAATTGGTTTTAATTTTTTAATTCAGCTATGAACTGATTCCGATAATTGGCGATTCGGTTAGACGGCGTTCTACTGTATTGAAGTTAATAAGCGCGGCCGTAATTGGGGATTCCGATTAAAACACTGTCATGCCGGCGCTTCACTTGGTTATTCGTATAATGCTATTTGTAAACTTAACAACAGTCTGTCCTTATCAGGCTTTATAAGGAATGAAAAGGAGATACTGATGTCATGTTCACAAATAATAGTAAACACCAAACAATATAGGTAAATGAACCATGCTTCAATTTGAATGGTCCAAAGTTTTTTATTGCTACAAATTTTACTGATTGTCAAACTATTGTGACAGAGAATAGCTTTTACATTATAGACAGACTAGCGTTACTCAAAACAGAACCCGTAGCAAGTTGAGTCGTAGAAGCTGATAAGATGTAAAATGTTGGGACCGGTGCAGTACACGGTCAGCTCCCCGGGCCCGTGTCTGTCCACGAGCGGGTCTTTTACTAACCATATGTATTACAGATAGGCAAACTAAAAGGCCGCTCATGTAAACCTGGAATGTGTGAGTGTGGCAGAAGCCTATAGTAGCCACAGGAGACTACTTAGCTAGCTAGCTCAACAACCTTGCACGCACAATGGATCATGGACAATGGGTCCAATCACAAAAAAAATACGAAATGTGTGCTGGGACACAAAGTAGACGTGAAACTTCAACGGCCAGCCTTTCTCTCCTTCCGCCACAGCCGCTTCTCACCGCGCGATATTCGTCTACCCCATCCACGCAGCCGTAACGCTTTTTCGTGACAGTAAAATCCTAATACCTTCCATCTATATAGGAGTTTCACTTCAATAAGTATACCTTATTATTAAGGATTTAGCAAGTTGAAGTGGCAGTGGGCTGGCCATATTTGCCGAAGAACCGATAACCGTGGAGACCGCGTCTAGACAAACGTAGTATAGGACGTCCTCAGGCAGGATGGAGATACGATTTGCGCAAATTGGCTAGCAGGAGCTGGATGCGAGTAGCCCAAGATCGATCTGAGTGGCGTGCAATTGGAGAGGCCTATGTCCAGCAGTTGAGTAGGATAGGCTGTTGATGATGATGATGAAGTATACCTTGTTGGGGCCGGTGCAGTGCGCGGTCAGTTCCCCGGGCCCGGCGCGCCGCGTGTCAATCCACGATCGGATCTCCATGCCTACCACGCCGCCTGCGAGACCGGCACCGGAACACACTACGCGTGATGCGTCTCCGCTTTCAGAGCCCGCTGTCACGTTCACCGTCAAGGGACAACCTATGAACAATGGACATTTAACAAAATATAACAGCTGTTAGAAAAAAATACCTGACGAAACGACTTGGACCTCATCGCGGAATTGATAATATCTTGTGTGAGCAATATAGACAAAAGATCAGTTTTTCCTTTGTTCTTTCACTAAGGGCCCAGTTTCAATAATCAACCTCCAGTACAAGGTGAAGATAATATGGTTCCAATTTTTAAGACCAATTGTTATTATAACCTAAATAATAAAAATATCCTGACAACAAAGCTGCAATAGACCTGTCTGAGATTGATTATTGAAACTGACCGTTAGAGTACAGTCACGAGAATTAAAGTAAAGCGGTAGCGGTAGACTTTTTATTATGTCCATTTAATAAGTAACTATCTAAAAGAATTTACTGAATTTATTTAAAAATGACAATTAAAGCAAATCTTTTTATTTACTTAGCTAAGGGAATATTGATACAAGTTTACCTTTAACCATTCTCCCGGCCCATGTAACCCTGAGCTGATGATCTCCAGCTCTCCTGGGGGTGTAAGTGGCCCTCCATAACCCAGGCCCGGCCGCTGTGAGAGCCACGGAGATGTTGTCCCCGTCCGGAGAGGTTAGGGAAGCGTCTGGACTCCCTGGACCCGCTGCGCTGCCATCTATAGTGTAAATGTTACTTTTTATTATTAAGATGTTACTTTTAATTATAAAGATGAAAAATGAATGTATACATTGACATTGTATTATTGTAAAGTACTAATTAACAGTGAATCTGTTGTGGTATGCAGTTTCAGTGCTGTATTGCTATGTATAATTGAGCTAGTGTTTTCATTGTTCACTATGTTCAAGAGAAGGACTTAAGCACAAGTTTAATAATATATTTAGGAGTAAACGCTCAAAAGGTAAGGTTTTTTTAAAAAAGGAGATACCTATGTGCTTTTACGCAATATATGGATAAGAATGAGAACATATAGTTTTACGATATCACTTGCTCCAACAAAGAAAAGAAGCGATAATGGCGCCGCAAGACATTCTGTCGCAAAACTTGTCAGGAATAGTGTGCGAGAGGGAAATAATGTTTTGAATCGTCATTTTCGTTTCGTTTCGTTATTGAGGCGGGTTATACATGTAAATCTTGCACTTTAAATGCATAAATATTTCACTAATAAACTGTAAACACTGCTGGCGTATGCGGCGTCACGTGTGCCAATCCGCGACCAGCTAGAGTGACCCTATATGCTGTGTTGCCAGGAGCCACTAGAAGCTTTGCTAGACGTGCCCGCTACTAAAGCTCCATTGTATGTGAGCTCCATATCATATACATTTCACTCACCAACTGTGAAGACTGCCGGCGTATGCGGCGTCGTTTGCGGTAATCCGCGTCCGGCTAAAGTGACCTTATCTGCTGTGTTGTCAGACGCCACTAGGGCCTTCTAGGCGCGTACGCTACTAAGGCCCTGTTGTATGTGAGCTCTAATTCATAACTATTTCACCCACCAACTGTGAAGACCGCTGGCGTATACAACGTCGCGGCCAGCTAGAGTGAGCCTACCTACTGTGTTGCCAGAAGCCAGTATCCACTACTAAATCTCCATTGTATGTGCTTATTGGCTGTATTGCCAGAATCTACAAGAGCTTGCGAACGCTTTTTTATTGCAATACAGGGGTAAGAATGAGATGCATATATAGTATTATGATATCTGTAAATATTGCACTTGAATTTTCACAAATATTTCGCTCACCAACTGTGAAGACTGCTGGCGTATGTGGGGCTGCGTGTGCCAAACCACGTCCGGCTAGCGTGACCCTATCTGCTGTGTTGCCAGAAGCCACTAGGGCCTTCCTAGGCGAGCCTGCTACTAAAGCTCCGTTGTATGTGAGTTCCAATTCTTGTTCCCCGCTGACGCCTTCCACGGCGGCTAGAGTTACAACTGCTCGACCCGATACTGTTTCTACACCTGCAGTGATAATATAGTATAGGCTCATTATGAGAAGGAATGACGCAGAATTCACAATATTTTTTAGTTTCTACTTAATTTAGCTTTAAGTGTTTTATCAATCCGTAGCTGTATCCATGATACAGTACTGCTTACTAAAGAGGAAGAGCTCGATGGCGCAAGTGGCTACGATCGTTGAAGTTAAGCAACTTTCGCAGTGGTCGGTCATTGGATGGGTGACCAAAAATATACTATCTCGACTTCCTCCGTGCTTCGGAAGGGACGCTAAGCCGTTAGTCCCGGCTGCATCTGCAGTCGCTAGCACCCACCATTGCACACTGGGCCCGCGTGGTGGGTCATGGCCCAATCTCCCTATTCCATACACATTGAAGGCCTGTGCCCCAGCAGTGGGGACATTAATAGGCTGATGATAAAAGAAGTGTCAGTATTAAATTCATATACATACGTTGATGTCTGCCCGCTAGCAAGCACTCTAAAGAGCCAGGGCCGGCGTTGCTTGTATCCAGCACTAACTTGGAGGGGGCTCTTACTCGGCCAGCGTTGTCGGTGCCCCAACCTCCCACTGGCATGATAGCGGACGTGTCTATTACCTAGGTACAGTAAAAATGTTTTAATTTATAAGCAAAATTTTCTGTTCGAGGTATTTAAAACCCACGAAAGTAAAGTTCTCAAAGAAAAGATTTCTTTTTTACATTCATTAAAATTTTACGCATGCTATTTTTACATCGATGGCAGCTCTTAAGTTTTTGTGTATACAATATGCTTACTTGAAAATTATTATATTCATCTGTTTATATTATGGAGGAGTTTTCTGTTCTTAATATGAAATTTTCTCTAAGTCAGCAGTTTCAGAAAAGTTTACACTTACTTTAACAGAGAACGGGCTTCCTGGTAACGGTCCTGATGAGGTGAATATCCGTACTTCGTATAACCCGACCACGAGGGGGATGTATGCGCAGAGCCATTCTCTTGGCGCTCCAGCCACGACTCGACACTCAAGCAAGCCCGTGTCCGTGCTGTCTTCTTTGTTGTCAGTTAGCCTTTCCACCTTTGTATAGAGTTCAAATAAGAGAAGTTCGATAAGAGAACTAAATATCAATCTTTCGTTAACTGGTAAAAAAAACAGAATGCCATTTATGATAAGTTTTTCTAGAATCTATTTTTATCTATAGCAAAAGTGCTGAGATTATCAAATAAGTAGGGTGGTGCAGAATAAATATTTTGTACAGGTAAGGTGGTAAAATTGGCATCACATTTCAACCCAAAGCTGCATTTTATTAGGACCAACAGTGAAAGCTGGAGTTGTTGAAGGGATAGAAAAAAGAACATGGATTCCGTTCAAGGAGAGATAGGGAGAAAGGAAGGAACAATGAAAGGGTGTAAAAAGAAAGGAACATGAAAGAAAGGTAAATTAGAGATTTCAGCTCAGCCCCAGGCCGAGAAGCCCCCATAATAGCCAAGTGTGTTTAGATTATGTTACCACTGTATTAGATTGCGTGATATAGTTATAGGCAGCACTAAGAATTGATTTCTTTTTTTCTTACTCAGTTTGTATTGTTATTTAGTGTTTGTCTTGTTGGCTGTCTTTAATAAATAAATTAAATACCTGTACAGTAGGCGCGGAATCCTCCACACAGTGTATGGTGAAGGCGGCCTCTTTGCCGACGTGTGCGTGGACTAGACCTGTACCAGCACATCGGGCTGCGATACTGCTGCGTATACTCAACACGCCCAGGGATACGGGGCTGCCTGTTACTGATGCACCTGAATATCGTAATAAGCATTGTGAATGGACGAACGTTCCCTTATATACCTAGTAACTTAATGGCAGCTGTGAAGTTATCACAATTCGTGGCGCAGTAAATGCAATGTAGGTTGTGCTAGCTGCTGACCTCACAACCGGCATAAAGTTTGAATTGTACTATAAAACTGGGCAGACAAGTGTAAGAGATACTAAGTGTGGCTTTAGATTTGATTTCATGCGAGTGTAAAATTTTAATTTCATGATCTTCCTTTAATTTAAAATGGTATGTTATTTAGGAAAAGATAATCCTTATGATTAACCATTTCGATGGTTATCATAAAATACGTCATGTGTTTTTTTTTCAAAGTAGTTTAAAGTGGAACGTTGTTTTACTGGGCGTATTTGATGTCTCGTTATAACACAGATCTTGTCTGGCGATTAGAATTCATGATACGGTATTTGGGCTAAGTGTGGGAATAACAAACAATGATGTCGGATTGTTTATCCCTCGAAATTGTTATTACTTATTTGCATTTGCATTTTTTCCTGGTTTGAATACCTTTAACTACCTTTATGTGAAACTTAGCAACCCTTATCAATGCTGATTGCATAAATACAACCTTTTCTTCAGAGGACCACGGGTTGGTGTAGCAGTTTATAACTACTGTACCAGCTATCTTCGTGTTTGGACTTTATCACCACTTAACATCAGGTGGGGAAGATTCATTTGCCTACCTCACTATGAAAAAAAAAAAATGTTTTGTAACCCGTCTTACCTCCGTAGGTGATGTAAATTCGATAATGAGCCGGCACCGAAGGTCGTAAGCGCACTTTGTACGTGGTACCATCTTCTCGTACGTCTACGGGCAGTCGTACACAACGCTCGCCCATCGCCTCGCATACTACTTCTAATTCGCCAATACCCGCTTCTTTAGTCTCCACTGGGAATAAAAATTAAGCTATGAAACCCGTTTCTGAATGGACGTTGAATTAATAGTTAAACCTGTAAAGTTACCCAAAACTGTTAAATTTTTTCAACTGGCTTGGAGATTGTCTTAAGATAAAACAATTTTATTTGAGGTTTATATCGATTGATTAAAAATTCATAACCGATTGAGAAAATGTTATAGTTTCTGGTAACTTTATGACTATCTTTACATAACTCTATCATTCTTGATGTTGGAAGGAAGTAAAGGATAACAAACAGAACTTTCAGTATGTCCGACTGTATGGTAATATAAACAGTGTATCAGTACAACTAAACCTGCCGATTTTCTCAAATTAATTCATAACTTTAAAGTTCCAAGGAAAGGAATCAAAGTTGAAAAATTGTTGAGAAAACTTGACATACAATATAAATAAGAACCAATCTTTATTTATTTTGAACTATTTCTAACCTGTGAAGTTGATCGGTGTTTGCGCAATGATGTTGCCAGTCGGTAGACCAGACAGGATAACTCTGTTGGGGTCGAAGGATTCACACGTGTACGGACTACCGGAAACTGGCTTGGACAAGTGTAACACCTCTGCAATAGGAAAAGAGATTAAAGTATTGAATCAAAATGAGTAGTTCAAAATTGTACGTATATATACGTAAAACATATGTGTTGTGATTGTATAATATAACATAATCATTCTTTAATAGTATACTACATATATTTTGTAAGTACCTACTCTAGCCTCAACAATCAGATGAAAAGAAATGACGACTGTCTAGCCTCCACCCGGATGGTAATACTTATAGATATCCCCCCAATGTAGCCTACTCCTCGGTTGCCCTGAAATCTATTAGAAAATTTAATCGACCAACGTGAAGTTAGCGCAAGTTGCGGAAACGCATAAACGAAATGTAGGTGCGCGCGACGTGCCCAATTAACTGAAACCAACACATAGTTGTACTCTCTGTTAACTTTACAACAGCTATAAACTTTTAACATAATCTAAATATACCTATAGAAAGTACTTCGTCCTTCCTATTAGTGAACTTGGCCAGTAGCAATTATAACAGACTAGCAGGCTAAACTCCGTTCAACAGTGACCGCCAAACTTATTGTATATTGAAATGTCATTTATACTATTATTACCTATAGTACTCTGTCCGACTTCAGTAATGGTGTACTCGGCTTGCAGTAACCCCGACTTGGTCTGGTAGCATCTGACGGGCAGGGCCCTGGACCCAGGTCCTGATACGACCACGTCAAACTCCCTTGCTGGCCGCCCTAATGTATCGATGCTGAACGACGCCACTCGACCCACTTGCGCCTGGTAAAGGCCCAGGCCTGATGCCGTTACCTAATAAAAGGAAATAAGCTTATATTACGACAAGGATCTTTATTACTGTCGAAAATTGGAACTAACGCCGCCATCTTTGTAAACGTCATATTTTGTATGTCATTTACGAAGACAGCAGCGCCCTCCCCGAACTGTCACTCACATTCATAAAGATCCGTGTCGCACTGTATATAATTAATTGCAGAAGTTCTGCAGTGCCTGCTCGCTGTCAATTATGAGGACAAGTACTGCTGCTGATTTTACTTTGTTCACGAAAACCAGATTGTGGAACGACTTTTCCACACACAGCACACAATCGCTTCCAAAAGACTATGATGAAAAACAGCGTCATACGAGAAAGGGGCGTCACTGATAGGAGTAATGACGACACAATTCGGCCAAAGACAAAAAGTATAGCTTAAGTTGGTACTAGCACGTTTTCGTAGATAGAATATAGATGTTTTACTGCTTATACTTCCACATCAGAAGGGCTCCCCCTATCAGTGAAGGAAGCTCTTGATTGATGTCCTTGAAAAAGTACATCAGATTATGAAAGGGTGGGTACTACTGACATAGTTTATATCTTTTATAGGAGAACTGAGCCACTAATAATAACAAGTAATTTAAAAAAAATGAGAATTTTTCCATGTGCATTTTCTTGGTTTTGAGACATGAATGTTAGTATGGAACCGCTTTTTAAGGGATTGATGGGTTGCGACTAGGGATAGGTTTCTGCCCAGGCATTTTGGGCATATTCCGTATTTGCCCAATAAATGTCCTTAAGACTGGGCATTTATTATTTTAGTTTCTGTTTTTTTAGGTAAATAAATTTATTTAAATATTTGATGATTTTATAGAGAAGGCAAATTCTTTTCTTTAGATTTTATTCAAAATGTATATTTCGGTCAATAAAATAATATTTTTGTGACAAGTGTTACGAAATATGATTATTATTCATTTGGGGTGGTTTGGGAACTACCAAAAAAAATCATCAACTCAACAAATGGGTGATGCACAAGCATCTCAACCATTTGTGTTTATTTGCATTCCTTTCGCACGATGCATAAGTGACCTTGAATAAACCAATCAGAGTGCCTTGATTCCCATCACCTTCTCTGCGTCTCTGGGTTGTTCTTTGTTGCTTATCGGAAGGGTCAGTTTCAGACGCCCGTATGCACTCGGCGTACCAGCGTACTTTAATAGTAAAAATATATTTTTCATAATTTAGACAAAGTTTCGGCTATTTTGGGAGGTAAGTAATACATATTTCTCTTATTCTTGTCTATACTTTAAAGGTTTTTTCTGCACTGATCATATTGGTGAAGCCAAGCCTGTGGGTGGCTATTTTATTTGATCAGTTAACAAAAATTATGCTAATAAAATATTCTCATTTCATATAGTCTTTTTATTATTACTTTACTTACTTACTTTTAAACTTAATATTCATCATATCAGCCGTACGACGCCCACTGCTGAACATAGGCCTCCCCCAAGGATCTCCACACCGATGGGTCCTGCACCACTCGCATCAATCGGCTTCCCGTGACCTTCACAAGATCGTCGGTCCACCTTGTAGGGGGCCTGCCCACTGAGTGTCGTCCGGTGCGTGGTCGCCATTATAGAACATTTCCGCCCCAACGGCCATCGGTTCTTCTTGCTACGTGTCACGGCCACTTCAGCATAGAAATCGTTCGAGCGATATCGGTTACTTTGGTTCTCCTACGGATTTCCTCATTTCTGATTCTATCGCGTAGGGAAACACCGAGCATCGCTCTCTCCATTGGTCGCTGTGTGACCTTGAGCTTTCTTACGAGATTCGCTGTAAAAGACCACGTCCCGCTTCCGTAGGTCATCACTGGCAATACACACTGGCCAAAGACTTTTGTCTTGAGACACTGAGGTAATTTGGGACGCGAAGACTTTCCGTAGCTTCCCGGACGCTGCCCATCGGAGCTGAAAGTTGGACTTACCTAACTGGACTGTCTATCCTAGGTTAACGTAACAGTCGGCAACTTCGAATGTAGTGTTTCCAATTTTAGCTGAAGCGGGTACTACATAGGCATTCGACATAATTTTCGTCATATCTCGTTATGGGAAGCTCTACTAAGATCTTCGAGCATCGTGTTAAGATCTTCCAAGGTTTCAGCCATAAGAACTACATCGTCGGCGAAACGAAGGTGCGAAAGGTACTCGCCATTAATGTTAATGCCTCGTCGTTTCCAATCCAGAAGCATGAAAATATCCTCCAATGCTGCTGTGAACAGTTTCGGAGATATCTCATCTCTCTGTCTCACGCCTCGCTGCAGTTGGATAGGATTAGAGCGCTGGTTCTGTAATCGGACTGATATAGTGGCGTTTTCGTAAAGGTAACTTAATACCTCAACATACCTGTAGTCTACTTGGCACCTTTGAAGAGACTGTAACACCGCCCAGATCTCAATCGAAAGCTTTCTCATAGTCCACGAACGCCAAGCAAAATGGCAGATTATACTCATCGGTTTTCTGTATAACCTGCCGCAGCGTATGAATGTGGTCTATGGTACTGAAGCCTTTTCGGAAACCGGCTTGTTCGGGAGGTTAAAACTTAATAATATAATATTTAAAATAAGGAAAGATTTGACTTTTGACATTCAAATCTACATTTAAGTAATTATAAAAGCATAAATCAAAACTTATATTTGTTCCATCAATACTAAAAATGCGAGGTAGCTATAAGTATAATTTTAATGACTTAAGATGAACACTTTCAATTTTTATATGAAGGACCCCGATGAAAATGCAAGTAAATTGTTTATTATTAACTCCATAAATCAGACTTAAACATGTTATATAAAGCTTATGAGTTTTATTTGTGTGTTATATATAACCTAACCTTTAGCTTTCTCACGTTAGCAATGATATGAACGAACTCATTTTTATTAAAATCAACTAGCTATTTGCCACAATTGTGTTCAATGCTTACATTTGAAACGTGGGTAAGCTTTACCGAGGAAATTAGATTTAAAAATCATTTTTGTGGCGGTATTTTTATCTTTTGAGTTTTTGCCCAGCGACTGGACATTTATTTGGACGTAAAAATGTTTTATCGCTATTTGCCCAGTATATGCCCATTTGGGTTTTTACCCTTGAGCCATCTCTAGTTGCGACAGCCACAACGTCAACGAAAGCCAAGTTCCTGTTTGTCGCTGCACGAACGAGCTGAGAGTAAACGGAATGTAAGAGTTCACTAACCTCCTGTCCATGCTGCGGGGGCAGCGCGTCCAGTAGCATGGGCTCACGGGCGACGGGCGCGCCGCTCCACAGCAATGTGAGGCGGTGCGGCGCCGCCCTTGCCGGATGCCAGACTAGTTCCTGCCGCGCGCCGCCGCGACGCCGCACCGAGTGCGGTACCGCCGCGCCGCCGCACGTAACCCGCCCGGATAAGCGGCCGTTGCCCGCGCCGCTGGTGCTCACTGATACCAAACGCGACTGTGTTGTATTACAGACATAGAAAATTGACGGCGGGCTACTATTTAATGAACTGAATAAGTAAAACTGGGTAAAAAAGTATGACAGCCGAAGCAATAGCGGCTCATTGTTTGTCTATGTGTTGGTCCCAGAATAGGAACTTAAGAAGAAGTAATGCTATGACGTTTGTACGTACACTGTCATAGACAATAGATTACTGTTAATGACTTCCAAACAAAGTATTACCCAACAAAAAAGTATTAGTGGCATATTAGCAGGTTGTATTTACCATTAGATCGCTTTATGATTCGGTATCGTAAAGATAACCAAAGTATTTACAAGCCATACAAAATTTGAAGTTTGTATAGCGTTACGCACGCTGTCCATAGTATATATATGTTCATAGGAATGTATATTTGTCCTGTTTTGGTCTATAAGTAAAAATAATATTTAAGAATTGAATTTAAACTCTTCGTACGTTTACGTAGGACATTATGTGATGGAAGTTGACCTCAACACATGTTTGCAAGTTTGATGTCAACTTTCAATTGGACGACACTGTATGAAATAAAACAGGGAGAAAAAAGCAGCCCTTGCTGAGTTTCTTGCCGGTTCTTCTCAGTACAAGGTCTCCCGCCGTAGATTTGCGAACCGATGGCGTAGCTTTTCGACATTCACAAGTGCTTGTAACAGCCTAGACTGAATAAACGATATTGAATTTTGTTTTAGTTCTTGTTCTGGGGTATTGGTCGTTTTATGTCTTTGGCTCTTGCTAGAACATTATTATTTTCATTTGAGTGTCGCACACACCATTCTCTATATCTAATTTTGGAAGGTTATTGCACTTTTGAAAAAAACAAAGCAAAACATATGACAAGCATAATTGCTTGAAAAAAATTTTAAGGCATATAGAGCGGTTTAAATAAATATGCCACAATAGGGTATTTGACAAGTTTTAGAAAACGATCTCACGTTATTGACCAATGTTTAAGGAGTCCGTAAAAAGTGGATATTCTTCATTCTGTTGTGTATTTCAATAAAAGTAACCATGTCAAAAACTAGATTTTCAATTTGCTGCTAAAACGTTTCTCTGGACAATATGGCGTCTTACTAGTGTGTGACGTCACACGACTGTTATTAAAACGTCAAACGATACAATGTAATGCCACTTTAACCGGAAGTTTACTTGCGTATGACGTCATTTTAAGCTCCGCCAATCCCAAGCGTTTATGGTCACGTGACAAAAGATAAGAAAACTATTATCTTTTTCGTAGGTTTTTAGTAAAATTATGAATATTTTTTTTGTATAAATAGTAAAAACCCCTGCCAATATTCATTCTAAACACAGATGCTAACAATCGGCACTTCATTTTTAATCCTGTCAAATACCCTATTAAAATCACTAACAATTAAATAATCTGTAGATACTTCACATAAACCTACAACAATATTTTAATAATAAAACATCCTTTATCACGAAAGCAAACCCATTTTTTTTATTGTGAATGCCTAGCGCTTGGGATATGCCTGACGCATACCCGCTCACTATAGGAGGTGAGCGGGATATGTCGGACTCTTCACAGCCCACCCACTAGACGAAACTGTTTTCCCCTAGTCTGTAGGCACGGGCCTACCGACTAAACACACACAGCATCGACAATAGGCGTCACCACAAGCAACTCACCAGTAAGTATAGCAGGCCGATGCGCGACAGCGTCTCCTATAGACAACACTTTGACAGCGGACGCATCCAAAGCTTCCACGTCAGCCACAGGCCCTCTGGAACTCTTCACTAAATACCTTCCCACTCTGGTAGCAGGGAACGTCAGTAGGCCCGTGTCTTCGAGATTGGCTTCGGAGACGCGAGTGCCGGTCGGGGAGATCACTTCTACGTCTGTTATGTTCTCGTCTACTTCGACTGTGGCCACGCCCCCTTAAAGAAATTCAGGTATGCGGTAATCTACCGTCTTCGGTACACACGAAACGCGTCAAATGTCAAAAAGTTTTGCATGGAGGATTTTTAATTCTCCATACATTCCATACAAAACTTTTTGACATTCGACGCGTGTCGAAGACGAATTCTATTATAGTTCGTGTTAATGGTACTAGAGCAAGGAATTTATAGTATTTGTGTATAGCAGCAGTAAAATCCTAAGCATATTTGTCGAAATACTAAGCGAATACATTATAATGCAATTTTTTAGGTTTTTTGGTGGATGAAAGTCCTTATTCTTAGTCCCGATTGCGCCGCCAATTTGAGGCATTTACAAATAAAATATATATTTCTTTCGTGTGTGTACACACAAACATCTGTAGGCAAAACACTTCAACAAAAGAATTTTGGCATATCAGTTGTTTTAACCAACTTTAAAAAAGAAGAAAGTTTTTAATTCTTCAGTATACTATTCTAAATAAATAGTGACAGGTCGGCAGCTTATCACTTACAATATTTTGTTAAAGTATCTTCCTGTTCATTAAGTTGACTGTAGTGCAGTGACATGAATCGTCTGAACAGACAGCACTATTTTTTGTGTCCTGTCTTACATGATTTCGCTATATGCCAAACATTGTATCATACTTATAAAAAAAAGAGCGAGCCTTACAGTAGTCGCGTATGATGTGTAACATTTGAAACCTCACCTTATGTTAGTAAGAAAAGAAATAAAACCTACTACAAAGGAATAAGCCATTTTGAACATTATGTTCTAAAATCAAATCAAATAGTGCGCGCTTTCGCTACTTCCTGTTACACGCTTCCGTCCCATTTCACGAAATCACTTCCACAAATTGCAGGAAAGCGAGAGGAATGATGTTACACATCAGAAAATGTTAATACTAAAATATTTTTCAAGCAAATTACTTAAAATTAATTCTAAATTTTCTGGTTAAATTCTCACCAATCTGAACGTAAGTATGGGGCTCGCTGACTCTGCATACGAACGGGCTGCCAGGCACGGGTTGTTCGTTGAACGTGACGGAGACGCGATGAGGTTCGCGCGACACCGGCACGAACGTCACGTCATACAGACCGCGTGCTACTGCCACCACCTGTTATAAAATTTCTAATTGAATAAACAATCAACTCAAAATTTTGAATGTTTTACCGGTTAAATTTGCAAACTCACTTGATAGTGACAGCTGTTACCTAGATGCTTTATGGTGCAAGGACCTCGTGCCATTCAACCTTGTTGATAGGTGTAAGAGATTCCTTTGTTCAATTGTACTGTAGACAAACAGGTGAGTCCCTTTATTTATATGTGTGTTCCGGTGGGATTTGGGCGGTGAATCTAAACCATCTAGGGACCCACTTGAATGCAAACATAATATTTTATTGAAATCGGTCCAGCTAAGCAGCTGTTTCCTAAACCGGAAGAGTTGAATTACATATATGTACACACAGGCAGAAGAAATATAATAAAGAAGATAACAACCACGACCCGGGAAGAAAAATTCCATCTCACCACACAAATAAATGCGCGTGGGATGTCACTACCTGACCACAGTTGCATTCTCTGCTAACTCCACAATCACTGTAAAATTTAAATTGACTATACTTTATAGTTCCAAGCCACGTTCCTGATCACTAAGTCTAGATTAAGACCTTCCAGTTCTACGAGGAAAAGTGAAGGTTAATGCTTGTAAACTGACCTCAGCTTTCACAGTGGTAGAGGGTGTGGAGACGACCAGTTCTAAAGTGCCTTCTCCAGCGCCCGCGGCGTCCACGCTGAACGTTACAGGCTTCCCGACTTCCACGCCGCGTTCCTCGTCGCCGTCGTCTAGGCTTAGACCTTCTAATGTACCCTCCAGTTCTGTAAGGTAAAGTGAAAAATAAGGATTGTAGTCTTGATAATTTAGTTTAAAGAAGGTCAACGGGACCCATAACCTACTCAGCTCACCACTTTTAGTTTTGTCGTGTATGCTCGCACCTTACATGGCTATTTGTAAACTTGAAAGCAGTATATTGTTATTATGGGGAATAAAAAGGACAGACTACTGTCAAGTTTACAATAAGCAAATAGCCGCATAAAGTACCAGGAGGAGGAGGAGGCGCGAAGTCAGGAGCTGAGTTAGCTACGTGCAATGAAGTGTTTATTTTCGTGACCAGTCGTGTGTGCTGGTATCTTTTTAGGTGCCAGAAACTTAATTTCAGGCCGGCGGTGATTCTCCCTAAAGGGGGATCCCGCGGTTTCACACTAAGCAGCTTAGAGGGTATTCGCAGTGTTTTTTAGCGGATATTATGCCGTAAAGCGCCCTTAAGAGTTACGGGGTCCTTAATGGGCAGCTGTAACTGTGGGGGCTCGTAAGGTTTGCGGGAGCCAGGTGTGAGGTCCGTTCGGCGGTGTGCCTCTTAAAGGCGCCGTCGTCTGTAAACAGTTTTTGCCTGCGTCACAAAAAAAAGGCCGGCACTGATTCACACTCTTATGACGTCATAAAGGGGCGATTGGAACTGGGCACAAAATAATAGTATGTGACTTATACGCTGTAGCACGATAACGCCTCAAACGGTGCCGCTAAATACACCCTGTATATAGCGGCATAGCACCTATCGATATTTAGGACAACGAATTAGAAATGATATGGAAGCATACTCTCTAACAAACTAAGCTAAAACATGGTTCCAAACTCATACAACTAAACTTCAATACTAACGCGACACCCACATAGACTAAACAAAATACTTTGCCGAATCAAATCTCTGCGGCTACCCATTCTACTCATTCTATTCTACATTCGACTAATGTTAGAGTGTCACAGAAATTAAAATCAAGCGAGTACGTACGAGACAGACGCAGATATGAGATACTACGCGTTTTTTTTCTAAATGTTTATTGACACCTAAACAAAAACGAAATTATATTTCTTTCCTGTGGTAAGTAATACTTGTTTACTATTTCTTACTTGTTTCAGTCTTTTAGACCACTTAACGTCACAAGTGATATTATTGTCCTTAAAAAACATGTTTTTTTGGACTTAATGTAATGTTTAAAATGACGCGAGCGTCTGCCACTGAGCGCGGCGACACACTGATTGGCGTGTATGTCGCACTTTTTTCGCGCCGTTCGTGTTCTATATCATTTCTTATTCGTTGATTCAATAGTATTCATGAGTTAAGTTACACCAACTGTACCCTTAGTACGAGTTTTACAATTACGAAAACTATGATAGTTTTCGTGAGCTCGTACTCGTACTAAGGGTACTGATTTAATTGTTTTCGTTTCTATACAAATAAACAGCGTTTTAATTATATCATTAAATCATTTGCGTATTCTTAAATTTTATTTGGTTACTTTTCACCAAAATGGTCATAGAAACATAATTTACAATTACGAAAACTAAGATAGTTTTCGTGAACTCACACTAAGGGTACTGACCTCCAGGCCCAAGGCCAGTGACTCTCACTCTTCTGACGTCATACACATTGCAAGTGAAGGGTGAGCCGGGCACAGGGCGTCCTCCACAAGTGACTTGGACGCTATGTCGCCCCACGGCTTCGGGGGTAAAAGTGGCTGTGTATTGACCATCGCCGATGGCATTTATGCGAGCCCTCACGTTGGTACCACCCGGCCCCGTCACGTAGACCGCTGCTTCGCCCGCTGTTCGGAAACGAAAGATTATTATAAATTGATTGCTGTGTTTTCAGGACCACTTCTTCATTGAAATAATCTATAATGGGTTTTATGCTATTATAATATCGCAGCTACAGTAACAGAACATTATCTGATCGATGACAATGTTAGTTGTCAGTCATAAATTAGGTACTTGAAGATTCTAGGCTTTGTTACAACGGAACTTGGAAAAGATCTATAAAAGAGAAAGGACGACAATGTTTTTGTAGGAAATTCAATTTGAGCAGACAATCAGCTGTTCCTGTAACTCGGTTTCATAGATTTTTATAATTGTAATGATGGACGCTTCGATGCACGCATTTATTACGAATATGTTAACAAAATGTTGATTTTAATATCTCGAACCACTTAAATAAACATATTTTTTTTTTAATTTAGGAAATAAATTTAATATTTTAGCTTTCGTACAACAATACGACATTTGTTCCCGCCGCGAGACGCACAGACAACGCAGACACATTGCCAGATGAGAACCAACAATATTTAAATAATGTATCTATTGATAAACAAAACAACCAGTGCAGACAATAAATTGTGTTTACAAACACGTATTAATGTCTCATAACATTCGATTAATGTCTGTTAATCTCCGAAATCATTTGTAAGATCTACAGAAGCTTAACTAACTCGAAAGGTCCGGGGCTATAGTAATGAAAATGTTTAAATTTTACATCTGAATCACTGAAATGAATTTTGGTACACATAAGAATGGTACATCAGCTGGTTCTCTCCACGGCACTGATAATTAAAGAATAGCTGAAGTTAGTGACACCCACAATATTTTTTTTGAGTGTGTATGCTGTTGGACGCAGATGACCTTTATAGCGTCACCAAGTTTGGGGACGGCGAGATCCTAAGGGGACCATAAGTCGAGAATTGGTGAGTGCCTCTCGATATTAGTTAGTATTCCAAGCTGATGGCATCTCCCCACAATTGGGAGTCTCCTCTCCGTCTGGAGCCTCTAGACCAATCGAACCTGAGGGGTACACTCACAATGAAATCCATTAAGTTGTATATCGGCCGGCTCCCCCTCGGGGAGTCTCCTCTCCGTCTGGAGCCTCTAGACCACTCGAACCTGAGGGGTACACTCACAATGGAATCCATTAAGTTGTATATCGGCCGCCTCCCGCCTCGAGGAGTCTGCTCTCCGTCTGGAGCCTCTAGATCACTCGAACCTGTGGGGTACACTCACAATGGAATCCATTAAGTTGTATATCGGCCGGCTCCCCCCTTGGTGTGGAGGCGAGACCGGGGCCGGTGGCGCGCGCCTCAGAGGCCGCGACCGGTGACGTCACGGGGCAAGTGAACGGCGATCCGGGCACCGCATGACCGTTGAACCGAACGGATAGCGTGTGCGGCGCCGCTTCTACGGGCTTGAAGTTCACCTGGATAGAAAATGTTGCTACTTCAAGAAAGATTGTCAACTTTTTCGGGTTTTTTTTTATATTAAAAGGGTGGCAAACAAGCTGATGGCCCGCCTGATGGTAAGCGGCCACCATAGCCTACCCTCACCACATCCCCTACCCGTGGAGCCCTGAAACCTTACTCACCGACGGAAACACAACACCACCAAAAGGTAGTGTTATTTTACTGTGGCCTTCTATAAGGTGGAGGGGCGTTCCAATTCGAGCGGGAAATCCGATATGTCCTACCTCTCATATTATTTTTTAATTCTTTAGTAGATATTATAATAAAGAAGATTACAACATAACTTTATTTTTCTCAAATTTGCACAACATTTACTGCTGAATTAAAGCTTTGTTGATAAAAAACTTAATGTGAATGAAAATATAATAATTAATAAATTATTACCTTGAATCTAGCGTTGCCTTCGCTCTGCACATAATTTGGCACGTTTCTTCCGTTAACGGCAACTATGATCTCCAAGTTTCCGGCACCTATAGCGATAGATAGAGAAGATATGTCATTAAAATTTAAAAAAAACGGTCATCTAATAATATCAACAAGAAATTGAACGGCTTTTTTAAAATTGCCTTTTCCTTTTCTACCTTGGTATGTATTCTCGAGCTTGTCCCTTATCCCACCTTGTCTGCAATTTTACAAATACGTGTGCTAGCCTGTGTTATCAATGACTGGTTGTTACAGTTTCTCTACCATTCAAAGCTAGAAAATACATCTCCGGCAATAAACTACCTTTAAACGATTAGGAACCTCACAACCTTTAGGCTGGAAAGAGTGCTCGATCGTCTGTCGGCACTGACGTCGGTCACAAGTAACTAGTTCTATGCAAATGTATGTTCGCGCATACTGCTGCACTGATGGATGCTACGCGCGTACAGCTAAAGGCAGAATTAGACGGTTCATCAAAAGTAATTCATTTTTACAATGACTTGTGAATGATGAACAGTGAAATACATAGTTTGTATAGACTCATAATTTTTTGATGAAAGCAAATATTCTATTTCTTGTGAGATAGGGTATTTGACAAGTTTTAGAAAATGATCTCACGTTATTGACTAATGTTTATGGAGTCCGTAAAAAGGATATTCATCATTCTGTTGTGTATTTTAGTAAAAATAATCAAATCAAAGACTCCATTTTCAAGTTGCCGCGAAAACTTTTTCTGGACAATATGGCGTCTTACTAGTGTGTGACGTCACACGACTGTTATTAAAACGTTAAACGATACAATGTAATGTCACTTTAACCGTAAGTTTACTTGCGTGTGACGTCATTTTAGGCTCCGCCAATCCCAAGCGTTCTGGGTCACATGAAAATAGATAATAAAACTATAAAAATAACTATAACTATATCTTTTTCATGGGTTTTTAGTAAAATTATGAATATCTTTTTTGTAAAAATAGTAAAAACGCCTGCCTCTATTCATTTTAAATACAGATGATAACAATTGGCACTTTATTTTTAATACTGTCAAATACCCAATTCCCGGTTGAACATTATCTGTGTCTAGTTATTTAAATAATGAGACAGTGAAAGAAAATGAACTGTTAATGAGCTGTCGCCGTTAAGACGTTTCACTTGTCGTTCATTGTTGATGAAATGATGACAGATGCCTGATCGATGTAAGTGAAAACAATCGGGAGCCGGAAGCTTTCATCGAGAAGACACATTCCGATGAACGTCAATTTAGACATTTCATTTTAGGTTTTTCATCAATTAAGCATCGATAATGAAATTAAAAATGAACTGTCTAATTTCAGCTTAAGTCACACTAACAGAAACGGTTGGCCGGGCTCGTCAGTCCGGCGCACTTCCGTCGACCGACGAGCTACGACAATGTATGTATGCGTTTAGTGCTTCGCTGATTATATGCCTTGCGCTGATGGAGCAACTGTGGGCACGCGCATAATATATATATTTAATTATGTATGAACTTGTAATCTGTGCACACGCGTCCTAAGGCTCAATCACACATGGTCGTTAGCCTGTATACGATTGCCTATGGTATTCGGATAAACGACGGAGCCGAGTACGCTTGTATTCGTTTCCCTCCAAACTGGCGGCACCGAGGTACGTTCCAACTAGAAATCGGGTTGTTTGCCCGTGTTCCAGTACGCGAACGTGAGTAACAAACACAATGATTTATAATCGAGAAATGTCTTTCGTGCTCCCGAATACGGGCTAACGACCAAGTGTAATTATGCATTTAGTTCGTCGTCAGCGTAGCAGTAAATGCGTATTTTTCACAATAAACATTCGTCAGTCGAACACTAAATCTAGCCTTACAAAAACACGGCAAACACCTGACAGGTGGGCTAGATGAGGTTTTACAGTATGGCAGGTAAATTTATGTCTAAACAGCTTGGTATCTGGACTGACATCTAGAAGGGAAACGACCCAAAGTCATCAAAAATCATGTAAATATAAAATTAAAAAATTCTTTATTTGAAAAAATATCATACCAGCATGTGAAGCGTTGATAGTGAAAGAAACTGGTCTTCCAACAACTCCAGGTGAAATATCTGTAACTGCGACTCGTGCCGCGCTATATGCCTTCACTAGGAACGGACTGCCTTCCACGTGCCCGCCCATTGCACCAGCGCGAACCTAATTCAAAACAAATTCAATACCAATAATCATCAGCCTATTAATGTCCCCACTAACACGAAAATTGGGCCGTGAGCCTACCTTGCAGGCCCAGTGCGGATTGGTGCGTGCTAACGACTGCAGATGCAGCCGGGACCAACGGCTGAGTCTTCCGAAGCACGGAGGAGCTAGAGATAATAAGTTTTTTGTTCACCCATCCAATGAGCACCCATTGTGGAAATTGCTTAACTTCCACGATCGCAGGACAAACGCGCTAACCACCTGCGCCATCGAGTTGCTCAATACTAACAATTCACCCAGGCAAACTTCTTGAGAATTAACCGTGGACAACAGACCTTCCTCAGTAGCTCAGTATCCATATTCCATTCTAATATTATAAATGCGATAGTGTGCCTGTCTGTTACTTCTTCACGCTCAAACTGCTGAATCGATTTAGATGACATTTGGTAAAGAGATAGTTTGAGTACCGGGAAAGCACAGTTATGGTAGTTTTTATCCTAGAAATCATTTTTTAATGGGGTGAAAAGGAGGGGCTGGAAATTTGTATGGGAAACCAATATTTCCGCGCTTACGAAATCGCGGGCATCCACTTGTTTTATATACAGAAGCGCAGGTTTATTTGTCTGTAGTTTTGCTCAAGAAGTTTGCCTATACCCTCGGCAACAATTTCCTCGATTCCGGTATCCTAATTGTGTAACTCCGTCATCTCTTTAATTTTATTATTGGGAAACTTATGTTAGGACACATTGACATTTTTGTTTGGCTTTAAAGGAGAAAGCTAAAAAGATAAAGGTGCACAAAAGATTTAGAGTTACTATAGCACGTCTGACGTGTGGCGGCTATATTATACTAGAGGCAGGCTCTGATTGAACAAGTGAGGTTGCAATTCCTTTATTTTGTGTATTTTTAAATTTGATGTATGAATTTTGCCCAAAATATGTTGCCTTTTTTCTCTCTCAGGCATATAAGTGTGAATCTATAGAATGTCTCTTTAAAATTTCACTAAATTATTTTGATTATGTATTAGTTTTCTATTATAGAACACCGAAACTACAAATAAATAATTGAAATAACAAACCTCTATGCTGTGGTCTCCAACGTCAACTGGCACAAAAGATATGGTATAACGCTTGCTGGCTTCGTTTTCTCCTATTGTCTCTTCTGCTGATACCTAAAATAATTTCCTCATTTAAAAATGACATAATATTTACCTTTTCTACTTAAGTAATATCGCTATTAGGTACTACTTCAAAGACTGGCCTAAACATAAAAAATAACAAAACGTAGTCAGTGAATGGATAGTTAATAGTAACTATCCATTCACTGACTACGTTTTGTTGACAGGTATATAGATACCTGACTAATGAGAACCAACTATTTATGCTTATGAAATACCTCCACTATTGCGCTAACGATAAAGATAATTGTCACGCATCATACAAAGACTGTCCTCTGTAATGAATTAAAGACATTCATTGATTAAAGTAGGTAATATTTTCCTCACTTGAACAGGTACTGGTCGTCTTGCTGGCCCCAGCACTTCTACATGAGGCGAGGTAGGAGAATCAACGCTGAATGTGTAGGCATCTCCGACCGACACTTTGTCGGGGGATTCCCCCGATCCGGCGCCTATGACCCGCGCTGGGGCGGACACGTGACATACGAAAGGACTGCCTGTTGGAAACATAATAAATAAATAGATATTTCTAATACTCACATCAATTCGGCAAGCCCCAAAGTAAACACTGTAAGGTTTGTCGTATGAAATACAAGGGTCACCCTTGATACATTATATAAGTGTACATCCTTACTTTAATATAGAATTGTATTTACTTGTACTTTAATATAGAAAAAGCCTGCACATTTTATATTTTTGTATAATAAATTTATACTTTTTGAAATGGTATTTTCATTAAAATTATTTGTTTCTGCAGGTTATTTATTGCTTTTCCTAATTATAAATCAGAGTTACAGTGAGTTTATACGTTCGAAACTATTTTATTTTATTCATCTTAACACTATCTTATATCGATTCCTATCACCTTATCATATAGTGCTAAATATTGGAAGTACTCGCAAACTCGCACGGGAATTAAAACCCACAGGGTACTTCCCGTGAACTTAGAATCTTGAAATTTGGTACGAAGTAATGTCTTATAGTACAGATAAAGGAAACATTGCGAAAACCGTACATATTTTAGTAACATCATATAATAAAAAATAATTGAAAAAAATAATAAAAGGTACTACCTCTTTTCTCATGAACGCGTAGAGGTATTAAATTGAGTTTGTACGCAACCCTCGGTCCGCGAGTCCGACTTTTTTTTGGGATTTGTGACTAACATATGTGACTAATATGTAAAATTCTGTGTGCGCCAGATTATTCCAAGACAACTTACGCAAGTAAATTTGCACTTGACAAACACGGCTATAGAGTTCATAGCTTTCAAATGATCTGTGATCGACTTAACACATGTCAACAACAACAACCTAACTTTCATTTCAAGTGCATTGCGATCGACGTAAACCATATAAACAATTTATCATCATCAGCCTATTTATGTCCCCACTATAGACACAAACCTTCCCTATGGATGGAATAGGGAGATTGGGCCGTGACCCACCACGCGGGCCCAGCCCGGATTGATGGGTGCTAGTGACTGCAGATGCAGCCGGGACCAACGGCATAACGTGCCCTCCGAAGCACAGAAAAGCTCAAGATAATACGTTTTTGTTAACCCATCCAATGACCGATGCAAATTGCAAAAGTTGCTTAACTTTCACTATAGCAGGCTGAATGCGCGAACCACTTGCACCATCGAGCTCCTCGATAACAACCTATACGAAAGATTTATTCCCATACAACTTACCCGGCACATGGTCTCCGTTAAACCGTAGTTCAACAGTATGGGGTCTCGGGTCTCGCGGTGTGAAGCTGATAGCGTAAGTATGGGCGCCTTGAGCGGCCGCCGCTGTGGGCACCCTGCCCCCATTCACAGTCACTTCCAAGTTTCCTGGACCGGCTGCCATTGTCTCCACTATAGGAACAAAGTAGTTTTTAATATTAAATAAAAAATATTTATTCGGCATTTCAATTTTAAACACACATAAGCGGGCATAGTTGGTTCAACAGTATTTGGCGAACAACAAAGGAGACTCGAAGTAATTACTGCACTTGTTCGGATTCATTCGGGTCGGCACATCATTCGATTCGGCAGTAATTCTGGAGAGAAAAAGTCGACCCGTAGCAACGATCGGTTTTCATTCGGTCTTTGTCTCTCGGTTTTCAATCTTCATTGTCACGATTTTGAAGGCCACACCAAAATTTTCGGGTGTTTCGTAGTAAAGAGCCGGCAATAACAACAAAGCTTGCAGAAACTAACAACACGTCGTCTTTGTTCCCCATTCTTAGCTGAACTAAAATTTAAGCCGAGGTTGCGATTTCCGATCTTTCAACTACATAGTTCGGTTTTACCGCCCGGCCTTGCCGATGACTGCCGGCCCGCTGATGCCGCCCGCCAAGTGAAAGCCAAATGGTCTTTTTTCGAACATTCATCTACATAAATTCTATTTAACCGCCCGGCAGTGCCGATTAATGCCGGCGCACTTATTACAGTAAGAAGTTAGTAAATAAACGTGGTCAACCGAAACGGTCACTACTCAGTACATATTGCAATCAACAACTACAACGCTTATCTACCATAGAGCCGATGAGTGAGTGTGTGTATGTATGGAGCTTGCTGACTGTGCATTACCTCTTCTTGCTGGAGTGCTCTCCACGACCAATACAGAATAGGTATTCAAAGATGTTGCTGCTGCTTTCCTTGTTGGCATTGATTGACCATTAGAAAAGGGTGGCAAACAAGATTTCGCCATACATACATTAGGACGAATCGAATGAAATTGTGTTTTATAGGTGGATTGTGCAAAATTGTATAGAAATGCATAATAATAATGTAACACATACCTAAAAAAGTAACTGGTTTTCCGACTGTTCCATGAGCGACGTCTTTTACTCTTATAGCGGTGACGTCATAAACCTGAGACAATACAAAGAAAGTATATAATGCAATGAATGAGTTATTATTATCTTTATATATATAATTCTTCTGTGAGTGTGTATGTCACTGAACTTCTCTTAAACGACTGGACCGATTTTGATGAAATTTTTTGTGTGTGTTCAAGGGGATCTGAGAATGGTTTAGATTCACAATTTTGTCCGCTGGACAATGTTTTTTTAATTAATTTTTAATTTATTAGTAGTTGTTGATTTTGGAATGTTTTACATTGGATCCGACAGACGGCGCTACCATACTAGACAGGACAACGTCTGTCGGGTCCGCTAGTATATATATATAATAATAACTTATTCATTGCAATGAGAGTTACAGTTTGAAATTTTCAGCAGCTTTGTTTACAATAATTTTATTATAGAAGAGTCTGCGGAGCACTGTTCTATGAAACGACATAAAAACTACACGCCAAGCGGACACTCGCTCCCGCTTAGGCACTAAGAATAACTAAAAGCAATTATAACATACGGTTGTACTCTCATCAAAAGCTAAATTAAATGTTTGCGGACTTGCGTAACTCAATTAGAGTCAAGCGCCGGACTCCATATATCTACCGTTTAAAGCCTCGATAGTTGTGGCACCCACAGAATAGAAAAATGCTGTTCTGTGTGGCACCTTCGTTGTTTTCCACTAACTACTCACTCTGGTTTCAAAACAGTCTTATAAGATCTTAAGCGCCATTTACACGATGCAATTTTCTTGTACATACAAGAGCAATAAATGAGGCACAATAATTGACTTTCAAGAATTGTAAGTTACTGTTTACACGCGGACATAGTAAATAGGTTGCATACAATTATTGAATGCCAGTTTTCACAAAAAAGAATTGCAAATGTCTTTCCTGTACACCCATACAATAATTGTAAGGAGATTATTGTTCACAAGTATTGAAATGTTTCAACACAAACTTGTATAAAATTTATTTGGCGGTTGCTTTAAGAATTGCACGTATTTACGTGAGCGAATATTTCATACAAGTGTTGAACGTTTTAGATCTGGGTTTGTTTATAAACAATACTATGAGCCAAAAGGTATTCAAATTCGGTTCTGTTGATTTAATAAAGTTCATTGAAATATATTTTTATCATGAGTGTTTACGGGACACTGAAAGTGTGAATTACAAAAATCGTGATGCACGTAATGCTGCATATTGCTCAGAAATTTGGAGTTGATGGATTTAAAATAAAGAAATAATAAACAAAAAAATGCGTGTGTCGTGGAACACTCGATGGGAACGAAGTTAATAGGAGATTATTTACTAAGGGAGAAAAAAATAATTTAAAAGGCGAGAGCGTTTATTGAATCTAGTGTAGCATTTTGTAGATAAAAGACTGTATCACATTTTTAGCATAATTTCATTCTCACTACACGAATAAGGCATATTTTTTTTAAGTTTCGAGCTCGAGTACCTAATAAACAGATGAACGAAGGCGAAATATATTTTGCGCGTTTGATTTTTTTCTTACTTTTTTTTGGACTTAAAATGCTATCTTGGTCCCTAGGAATTAAAAGGCTATTTTGGTCCCTTGGGATTAAAACGCTATGTTGGTCCTTGTAAATAGAGAACAAACTAGCTCTTCGAATATATGTGATAATAGTTATTTATTATACAAGAGTGGAAAGTTCCTTTTTAACCGCGTGCTCGATTTGGATGACCGAGCAAGCGAAGGATTCTAAATTAGAATCCTGAGCGTCAGCGAGGGAAACAAACGAGCACAAGGTGAAAAATCTTTCCACTCGAGTGCAATACGTAACTTTTCATCCCACCTCAGCGAGGAAATGACAAAATGAAAAAGAAAACAATTTATAATGACAAAATATTTTTATTTCAATTAAAACACATTAAGATAATCTATAAATTGAAGAAAATAATAAGAAGTAGAAAATAATTAAGAAATATTAAATGTAACGTTGCTACAGTTACTTATGTTAAGTTTAATATTTTTGTTAGGTAATGTTATGTTGGTGTTTGTGAATTGTGCGCTGTTTTGTGGTAAACTACTCGTATCAGTAATTTTAAATAGTTGTGCCGATTCATTGGATTCTATTGGCGTAAATGTTGGCGAGAGAGGGCTATTGTTTCCAATCTTATGGGGGCTCATTTTAGATGTAGAAGGGCGAGACCAAGAATCTGACAGAGGTTCTTTCAGCGTTATGGCCTCCACGATACTATTACAAATTTTTGATTTACTTTGGATTGAATCCTCTATGTATCCCTCTACAACCGAATTAGACTTCCAGCCTCCATGGCGCTTAAGCGATAGAAGATCAGCCCCTGATTCGGCCAAAAGTGTGGCTGAGGTTCTTCTAAAACAGTGACCGGTGTATAACGGGGGTTCTAAAAGTCCGAGAAAAGTTGCTATTTCTCGTGGAATACTGCCAATTTTATTCTGACCCATAGGTTGTCGGATACACTTTCCGTTGCGATATTGTAGAAAAAATCGTTCAATTGGGGTGTTAGAAGGACGTAAAGCTTGATATTTCTGAACAATGTTTACATATTCCTTGCGAATAACGAAGTTGCGGTCTTTTTTTGTCTTGGTATTTAGTACATTAATTAATAGCAATTCATCAGAATTATGAGAATATTTTGATACGTTATTGACATTAAGTAGTGTAAGTTCATTTATTCGACATGCTCCGGTTATACCAATAATAAGAACAACCTGTAACAAAAGAAGTATTTATAATCGTAAATAAATTAATCAAATTAAAAATATTGTAAGTACTATGTACAATTTTATCAACAACAAAAAATTACACGTATTGACTTACTTTTGCCGCTAAATATACGGAATCAGGTGCTTCATTAATAAACTTTGCAATTTCAGATGCTGTGAAAACCTTCGATTTTTTTGGTTTATAACCAGATGAGGCTCTTTTTAAAAATGCCACTAATTTATGATAGGTGTCGATATGAACGTCTTTCTTCATCTTAATTGTTAATTTTAGCATTGAATACGTACTCCATAGCGTGCTTGCTTTCTTGGTCTCAGATAATTCTATAAAATATGCCAGCAAAACGTTTTCGGAGAAAGTTTTTGCTCCTTTAGCTAGTCGCCACATGTTAAATATATCGTACTGTTTCAAATACTTCTCTCGTGATTGCTGAGGGAGAAGGCTCATTTGCGCATTATTAACTGTTTCAGTTAACTCAGTTGGCGTTAGATAAACTTCATCGTCGCTAATGTCACTCATTTTAGTTGATTTTTTTGTACAGTTTTTAGGTTATGTTAATTATATTAAGCAATAAAACGTGAAAAACTAGAATGGCGCGAAGCACGCAAATAAAACAAAGAAACCAAGAAGGTTCCAAATTTAAATTTTTTCACAATTTAAAAAGTTCTAATCATAAATTTGGCACCATAGAGGTTACATTAAATAGGTTTAATGACGTTTTGAATTTACAATTATATTGAGTACTCATTATATGTGATGTTCTAAATTCAAATCTACTTTGCCGCTCAAGCGAATAAAATAGAATTTTCCAGCCAGATTTCGAAGCGCAAAATTACACTTTCCGAGGTGGTGGGATGAAAAAATATTTATATAACCCAACAATCCGCACTGGGCTCGCGTGGCGAGTCAAGGCTCAATCTCCCTATTCGATAAAAAAGGTATCCTAATCATAAATCTGCACTGGGCCCAGTGAGGAGTGAGCCCAGTGCGGACCGAAAAGACACTTAGTTCGAATATAAAATATAAGTACGCAGATCATGGGGATAGGAAAAAGAGAAAAGACAACATGGGCACCGTTCTGGTACTGATTATAATGTTTACAAGTCCAAACTTTCTTGGTATAATTTAATGGATTCTTTGTTACAACATTTTCTTAACATTTTTTGGCTAAGAAGAGCATCAACGATTAACACACCATCACTTACTCATATTTGCAAATGACACAAGAATTGAATACAAGAGTTGAATTATAAGAATTGCTGGAAATTATTGTATGTATATGCTTTTACACTAAGAAAGTTTAGAAGCAAAACTTGTATACCACATGAAGAAAGTTATGTGCTGTTAAGACCATGCCAGTCATTTATTTCTCCAATTTAATTGTATGCAACAGGCAAGAAACTTGCATCGTGTAAATGGAGTTTTAAGAAGAAATAGTTATTTATGATACAAGTGCGGTAAGTTGCAAACGAGTAGACGAATGTAAGCCCGAAACGAAGTCGAGGGCGGAACTATTCTTCGATTTTGTTTTGTTAATATAAGACTTGAAGTGAACTCACCTTTAGATGGAAAGGACTGGCAGGTATAGGCACAGAGTCGACGAGTACATTCAGCCGGTGTTCACCCACAGCTTTGGGCACGAACTCGGCGCGGAACACCGCCGGCCCAGCGGAGGAAACCGCCGCCGGTACCGAAGCCCCGTTCGGACCTGCGCGCCCCAGCAACGCTCAGCTCACTGCCACGCCCTAACCCTACCCCCTTTATTTATAATGTGGCCCGTCTTTTATTCTTTTTTTAAACCTTTTTGGTGTTGGTATTTCTTTTGTTTATAACAAAATTAAAAAATTTAACACTCTTTTCAAATAAACTAAAATTACATAGCTTTTTAAAACGGCCAATGACTCAGAATAAACATTTTCATGGATGTTAAGAGTTAGGGCGAAGCGATGAGCTTATAATGTCGATTATGATGTTATAGTGTCATGTTTAATTGAGTATTTTTGTAATTATTTTCATCAATTTGACACTTAACTGTGGATAATACTGAGTGATGGAACTTATAAAAACTAGTTGAACAAATCAAAATGTTCTTAAGAGTATGTTAAGCATGTTGTACCTAAAGCCGCCATGGTTAATGAATATTAGTATTTAACAAGTCTAATGTAGTTAAGAGGTGGAATGTTAGTATTGCTAAGCGGAATGTTTTTATTAATATTCCCTAGTTCGTTGATTCTAAAATATAACTATATATCTCTTTAATTTCCTCTTCTCGGCCTCGAATTTTGCATTCTGCCCTTTGAACTTTTAATCCTTTCTTCGAATTTGTTAAAAGACAGTTTTTAACATATTGTTCATTTATACCGCCCTGTAATAAAATATCAAGACATAGTATTGGGAAGGCTACATAAATATTATAGTTAATATGTATGGTATTTTTTATTTAAAGAACATTTTAATAAGACAGGCATGCTATATTTTATTCTGTTTAAACGATTAATACATCCACCTCTTAACACAAATTATAATTCTGTTAATTAAAACAAACCAAATAATCAAATTAAAGAATGACCAACATATATATTTTTTTGTATTTAAACCTTATGAAGTGGAATACAGTATTGTCATTTTATATTCCAAATACTAGAAATCACAATAAACCTGAACACGTATCTATAGCCTGACTAAAGCAATAAAAACCTGATTTACTCACTATTAGATACAGTGAAGTTGTATTGTCAATTACTTCCTTTTGACTTAAATAATATGGTTAGGTTTCTTTACTTCTTCTGTTAGGGCTTAAAGTAATCATACAATCAGCTTGGAATCATAGCTCATCCATAGTTTATAACGGCAACATACCTTCAACGTTAACTTCTATTTGGTCAAGTGTGGCAGTGGGATGGTGAAGTGTGAGTGAAGCCGGTTGGTGCAGTGGCACCGGGCCGGGGAGGGTGACGCGAGCACCGATGCCACTACCTTCTGACACTTCGATGATGAGTGGACAGCCGGGCACACGCATCTTTATATGAAACAATATTTATGTCAATTTCTCATATCATAGTTTTCACTATATGGTTTTGTAAGCCCTTTTATTGTGTACGCGTGGAGTTAGTTAGAAATAAAGGTTCACTGCTCGTTCACCGTAGGTGATAGCGTGATAATATGTAGCCTATATGTTGACCCAACTTCTTAATAATATTCGTGCCAAATTTTAAGTAAATCCATGCAGTACTTTTTGAGTTTATCCCAGACATACATACAGACAAACAGATATATATATATAAAGAATTCTATAAACTATATTTTTGGCTTTGGTATCGATTGTAGATCACACCCCAATAATTCTTTAAAAAAAATATTCAATGTACAGTTTTGACTTTTCTACAATTTTATTATATGTGTAAGTAATAAAGCATACATCTATCTACTTCTATTCTATTTAAAGAGGCTAGAATAACTGCAATATTAGTATTATTATAATAAATATATAGACACTGTGATATAAGCAGTATCTGGAAACCTAACTGCAAGAAAACAACTCTAAAAATACTGCAATTTGACTACCTGACGGATAGGGTTAGTTTCTACCCTATAGAGTTCTGGAACTTTACAAATTGCAGGGACACAATCCTAGTAATATTATAAATGTGAAAGTTTGTATTTTTGCTTTACAATCATACAAAAACGTGTGAAAGGATTTGAATGAAATTTGGCACACATATAGCTTATTACAAAATAATATATGCCATTTTTCCTAAAAAAATTCGAGATCATGAGCGATTCTTAAAAAAACTAAAGTTACAGTAGAAAAAGTCACTGCTACATAATAAAAAGTTATTTTATTTTATGTTAGTCTTGTAAGGCAAATGTTAAATAAATAAACATGGGCCCTTAACCTGTGGAGGTTTGAATCTTAAATTAGTTATATTGTGTTCCTAAAATTATGCACGAACACAACAACAAAAAAAAGTGTTACTGTATACTGTCTTGAAGTTTTTTGTACGGTAAAGGATAAAGAAATAAAAATTATGTGAAATGAATTATATTCTCACCTTATTGAATGAAACATTTACGACATGGTCACAAGCTTCTGTTGGTGTGAATGATACATTAAATCTTGCATTGCCCTAAAAACATAAATTTTATCAATTAATGATTTTCAAAGGAGGTTAAAATGTTACAGAAAAACAAAACTGTTAACATTTATACCTGGGGATGGACTTGTGTAGGTATATTTAGTCCTCTCGCTGCAACTGTGATTTCTAGATTGCCTTCTCCAGCTTGTGCAGCATCAACTGCAAGTTGCACTGGCACACCAACTCGAGCAGATGACCCTCCGGTAACACTAACAAGCTTTCCATCATAAGCCTTGCATGTGAATGGGGTGCCCTGTATTAGAAACATTTGGTTTAGGTAAAATATAAACTTTTTTTCAATTTTAACTGTGATAGAGAGTTTTTTTTTGGTTTCACACTCATAGTATTTGTGCCATTGCTTTCAAGTGATTTGAAGGCTGAATTTTATTTTAAAACATGTGGAATGTGTTCGAAGAACAGTTAATTAATATTGTCAGTCCTTTTGCTTATTCATGAATAAGGTGAAAGTTTGTGTTATTTATTTGTTGGTATTTTGTACCTGTATACCGAATTTCAAATATTATTCATTGAAGCAAATACTTTGCAAAAAAAATTCTAAGTATTATTGGAGTGCTGTAATATGATAAACATACTGCATACTTTACTTTCTCAGATCATTCCTTTATCTTTGTTAGAAAAACATCTACACACATGTACTAGCTAGTTCACGGGCATTTCACCCCGGGAACTTTCTAAGATCACTCTTGTTAAAAAAACATTTACTCACTCACCGGCAGACCCCTCTTACCCAGTGGGCACTTTTGGCAAGTGCCCAGGGCCCACTTCAGATCAAATACAAAGTCCCTGTTAGATCACCAAACGGGGGTCATAGGGGTCCCATCATCCGAATATGCCCAGGGCCTCCAATAGGTCAAAGACGTCACTGCTCACCGGTACTGGTTGGTTGTTGTAATGCGCCGTGAGTACGTGCGGGCCGACATTTCTCGGAGTGAAGCTGGCCACCAGACCGCTGACGACGTCTCCAGTAAGTCTCACGGGCACTTCGCCCCGAGGCCCGCGTACAATCACTGCTAATTCGCCGCCCCCAGAGCCTTCCACGCGCACCGAACATGATGCTACTTCACCCACCGGTATTAACTCTGGAAACCGAAATCAGTTACTGTTTATTGACACAATGCCAGTGGTCGTTGTCTTATGTAATGTACGTATGTTTACGATCAGAATGTTTGTTTGTAAACAATTTCAAATGTCAGATTTTTTTTTTAGTTAAGTTCTCCCTTTTCAGGGAAGGCAAGGGGAACAATGCCCATACAGCCTATTCTTAAGTTAAATTATTCTGTTTTTCTTTTTACATTAGAATGTCGGTGTGACGCATTCTAATGTTTCTTGAAGTGTTTGGCACAAAATGTATCGAGCTGGCTTTTTCGATAAGCTTCTGTTAGGTGACTGACGTGAGAATTTTATTGTAGTATTGACTAATACTACAATAAAATTCTCACGTCCACTTGACCGGAATAGCGTATATTTTGACGATTCTACTAATTCTTCAGTTACGCAGACAGTTGTAACACAAAATCACACCAATTTTATTTCACAATATCCACTATGAACGAATTTTTAAGAATAATTAAAATAAGACGCCAACCACACTCGACGAAATTCCGCCAAAAACCTGTTTTTTTTTTGTTGAAGTTCTCCCGTTTTAGGAAAGGCAAAGGGAACAATGCCCATACAGCCTGGTCTTTAATTAAATTAATCTTCTTTTTGTTTTTACTTTTTACATTAGAATGTCGGTGTGACGCATTCTAATGTTTCTTGGAGTGTTTGGCACGAAATGTATCGAGTTGGCTTTTTCGATAAGCTTCTGTGAGGTAGTCAACACTACAATAAAATTCTCACGTCCACTTGACCGGAATAGCGTATATTTTAACGATTCCACTAATTCTTCAGTTACGCAGACAGTTGTTACACAAAACCACACCAATTTTATTTCACAATATCCACTATGAACGAATTTAAGAATAATTAAAATAAGACGCCAACCGCACTCGATGAAATCCCGCCAAAAACCCTGTTTTTTTTCGTTTGTCCTTTCGGACAGGCTGAGGTCTGGGACCATACTGCCTCGTCATTAGTTTTTTTCTTATTTTTATTATTAAAATTCAATATAATTTCTTCAGTTTGATAATTTCCGGTATATTTTTCTTTCTTTCGATTTTGTTTTTTTTTACTCTATTATTATGTGCTTTTTTCCGAGCACATTGAACATCTTAAGCACGAAACAATTAATTTTTCTCATAGTACATAGTCCAATCATGAATTAATTTCATCCTATAATAATTTCATATTTATTTAATATCTTTTTTATAGTACACGTTGGTTGCTTTCCAATTACAGAGCATAATGCGACTCAGTGCCGCACAATGCCGAATTATGCTGATGCTTAATTGGAACGTGAATTAGTTTTCAAATGCACCAGCAGAGTGCGCTAAGTTCAGTGTTGAAAAAAAAAGTCAATGTTTGTACCTTTATCCATATTTATATTTATTTTTTAACAAAGTTTGAATTAACTTTGATTATTAAATAAAAAAAACTATGATGAAACCAAAAGTTTTAATAATTTTTCAACAATAAATAATATTACTAACGATAACATAATAAATAAAACATTTCGATCAATGCCAACTTAAAGAAAAAACACTTGTTAATTTTCTGTCTCTAAGTTGGTACGATTGCACGCATCACACGAAAGCATTACTTTTGAAAGTGCTCGATTGTGCGAATCGTTGTTGTAGTTAAAATACTCAACGTTAAGAATATTTTATAAACGTTAAGAATATTTACAAATAAGGCAATATACGCTGGCAAAACCTGTGACAATCTGTATTGTCACTAATTCTTCTAAAGGACAACTTTGAGATTTAGAATAAATGAATTGCTTTGATCTAGTTATCTTACAATTAATAATATCTGTTAGATCAAATTAATTTTATAAAAAAGTACTTACCAACTTGTGACGTATCTATAGTGACTCTCTGCGCAGGCGCCACGTGGAACACGAATGGTGACGAGGGCACCGGCTCCCCGTTGAATTTTATATCTACTCGGTGAGGCGTTGGCGTTTCAGGCCGCCAAAAGACTAGACACCGACCACCCCCGACAACCTAAGATAAAATAAACTTCCTTTACACTACACCTGATTGGAAAGTGATTTATTCTTGTTCTAAAAATGAAGCAGACAGGAGCTCATTATTCAAATTAAAACAAAAAGGAAAGATACGGTACGCTCATACTAGCATCAAATAAAACACGCTCCGACTCAATTACTTACAACGATATTAAATGCCCTAGATACACCACGAGCGCTCAAAATGTGTCCCAATCAAGAAGTGCTTGAACTCCACTCAAGCACTTCTTGGTTCAATGGTCACGCGCGGACCGTTACAAAGTCAAGATGCCACAGAGCTCCGCGAAAAAATGCGAAAATAATACTTAGAGTACGAAAAGTGTCGTTTTTTCGACAGGTATCTAGTCAATGTTTGTTAATTTAACGCATTTGAAGTAAATTTTCATCTAATATTTACTATAAACTATACGATTTAATATAAAATATTTGTGATATTCAAATACATGGTCGGTTATACGTCGCCATACAGTCATCTCTTTTCCTCGCGGTCCGTGCCTGCTATATCAGCGCGCATATATTGCTCATGCTGATTATTTATTTTAATCCAGTCGAGACGACTTATATTACTGATAATTAAGATTTACTGATACCGCCCGAAATAAAAGAAACTACCTTTGCATTCATTGAGTCTTTACCGGAGAAATCAAGAAACCAATATAAAGCTCCCATGCAAAAGGTTTTGTAACTGTAACAACTTTAATATAAATTTAAATGTAATATTTAGATTTTATTTCCTTGCAGGTATAATATAAAGCACTATGTATCCCTCGAAAGAAAGTGCTATTCCCAACTTGGGTGTATTAAGGCCCTTGGCTGCGATTCGGGCCTCAACTACACCCTCGTTGGTAATCGGTCACTTTCTCCTTTCGGTGAACAATGTACTATTTTAATGCCAGCACTTTATTTGGCTGTTCGTGTTTCTTATTTGTAAACTTGACTACTTGACAACAGTCCCTTTTCACTTATTTTATAGTATGACTAGCGGTCGCCCGCGACTTCGTACGCGTGGAGTTAGTTAAAAGGTTCACTGCTAGTTCCCCGTAGGTGATAGCGTGATAATATGTAGCCTATATGTTGACCCGACTTTTTAATAATATTCGTGCCAAATTTGAAGTAAATCCATGCAGTACTTTTTGAGTTTATCCCAGACATATATACAGACAAATAGACAAAAATTCTAATAACTATATTTTTAGCTTTGGTATCGATTACAGATCACACCCCAAGTATTATTTAAAAAAATATTCAATGTACAGTTTTGATTTTCCTACTATTTTATTATATGTATAGACTAGCGGACCCGACAGACATTGTCCTGTCAACACGTGTTTAATTTGAAAATTTCAAACTTTTTTTAATAAGCTAAAACATTCTGGACCATTTTGATGAAAATTACCATTCTCAGATCCCCTTGAACACACACAAAAAATTTCATCAAAATCGGTCCAGTCGTTTAAGAGAAGTTCAGTGACATACACACTCACAGAAGAATTATATATATAAAGACTAGCTGACTCGGCGAACTTCGTACCGCCCAAAAGTAATAATTTGCAATAAATTAAAATTGCGACTATAATTTGAGATTTAAACTATCCTATCTCTCAAGTTGGATCGAACTGCACATGGTGTGCGAATTTTATTATAATCGGTTCAGTGGTTTAGGAGTCCATTGAGGACAAACATTGTGACACGAGATTTACATATATTAAGATTTGACACTGCGATGGTAGCGCCGTCTGTCGGATCCAATGTAAAACATTCCAAAATCAACAACTACTAATAAATTAAAAATTAATTAAAAAAACATTGTCCAGCGGACAAAATTGTGAATCTAAACCATTCTCAGATCCCCTTGAACACACACAAAAAATTTCATCAAAATCGGTCCAGTCGTTTAAGAGAAGTTCAGTGACATACACACTCACAGAAGAATTATATATATAAAGATTAGGGCAACCAACCTGCTGTCTAAATGACAAATAGCAAATATGACGGCATAAACAGGTAAGCTGCAGGAAGTATCAAAGACATTAATATTACGTAAATGACCACATGATCTAACATTGTTCACACTAGTAACATGTTGATAAAATAGTCTAGACGCATCTGTACCCTTAGAGTATATGCTCTTAGCCTGTACCTAAACAGGTATGTCTTTAAATTAGATTAATGAAAATGATTTACCTGTACATGATTTGGCACTTCTCCCTCGTTTATAGAGATTTCAAGTTGACCTTCACCAGCTGCACTGGCATCCACTGTAAAATTAATAAAATAAGGTCTAGCGCTAAATTCTTTATTCGAAATGGTTGTTGACGTTTTTCCATTCTTTGCATTGGCATAAATATTTTTCTTTTCTATTCGAAATAAAGGATTTGATATATGGGAATCAGAATGACTTGAGTAAGAATATCTCTGAACTCTTTAAAATTTCTTAAATAAGCTTCCTGCCATAATTCGGCCCCTTTAATTAAATTTAATATTTCCTTACCAAGTACCGTGTTGTCTTCACAGAACTAGATTTATGTTTGTGGATGTCTATGGTTATCGCAAAGAAAATTAGAATTTATAATCAATAAGTACCTAATCAACACATTATTCAAATTTTAAAATTAATCAATGCCGTAAAAGAGAGTAACCGCATCAATTATAAGTAATCAAACTTAAAAGTTAACAACGCCTTGCGAGTGTGGCTATAAGTTTCCAACTAAGGATTCTTGGATTCTATTTAATTTGAATAATTAAGTGGATAAAGAAAACTTTGGTAACGATCAATCTACTTCTTGAGAATAATATCCATGTTATCGCAGTCAAGTTAAGGTCGCGCTTACTTTGGGCGCGTTTTCGTGGGAACATGCACGAACGATCTCAACCTTCCAAGTACATACTATGGAATGCACATACTGGGTGCGAATTAATTATTCGTACGTATACACTTACAAGAAAATCGGACGTCCGACAACAACATATTACAATATTTCCTGTAAATAGTGATAAGAACTCGCTTAATACTAGAAACAAAAATTAATTATCTGTACCAATTTACAAGGCTCTATAAAATCAATTATTTATTTAAAGGTCTTAGTACGCTTCAACAATTAAGTCAGTAGCAATATCCAGTAAGTATGCGTCAATAAATTTAAAGCTACTAATAAAAGTGTTCTTATTAATACCTAAAGCCTATTATATAAGGTGACTGATTATATTTCAGACAAAAATGTTCCTATAATTATGGTGAAGATAATTTAATTTTGTATTGACACCGTAACAATATAATATTTTCTAAATATTGTTACGTAAATATTTAACGCTATGAAGTTTTTTTCACCAGTTTTTCACCACATCTAAAAAATGTCCTTAACTGGTGGTAGGGACAAAAAATGGACGATTCAAAAGAGATGTATTGTGCATCCAATTTGAAAAAAAGATTTTTTGACTTGACTTTTACTAAAATTTATGTTACCACGTAAATGGTTCTCACATACATCCGGTTCTGCGATATCGATGACGCTGCCGCGGTCTCCGAGTAAGAGAATTATCTTGAAGATTATATCTAGAAGACTATATCACGAAGGCGATATCACCGGAACATTACCTATTCGACGGAGAAAAACGTATAAGGTGTGCGCACTCACCACAATCATACGTTTACGTACGAATTACGATATAATTTCGTGTCCAAAGTGAGCGCGGCCTTACGATCAAAGACATTGCCTTAAGTACCTACCTCTGAATTGTGACTGTTGTCCTACAACGGCATTTCCGACATCTGTGACTTTGATTAGACTTGCGTCGTATACTTTGGCAACGAGTGGCCCGGCGGCCAATTTGTCCTCTGCTATTGAAACCTGTAAATCAACATTTTGTTTTAATTATTCCTTCAATGCGAAGCAATCAGGATGGGCTAGTAGAGATTCTATCATTCTGGCGGTTAGTAAGTTATCAGCAAGGGCAATTATGCAGGTTTTTGTCCAGTGTCATTCCGCGCGCCATCATCATCCTCGTAAGAGGGAGGTAGAGCGGATTTGCGCTCGAATTGGCTACCCATCTGGGGAAGTTCACAGTAAAATAATACTGCCTTTGGTGGTGTTGTGTTTCTGTCGGTATGTAAGGTTCCAGAGCTGGTAGGAGCTGGAGGTATGGTAGGGATTGGGTCAGGGTAGGTACCGGTGCGAGTGATATTTTTGGTATCGCAAGCGTCTATGCAGCGGTTCTAAAGCACAGCGTTCTTACTTATGTAATATTTTTTCGAATGGCTTTTGGGAACTATCAGTGGATTTTTTGCTTTTGATTACATCTAGCAGTTAAATGATTAAAATATAAAAATAAAATCGCTCTATACCTGCCAATATTTTATGGTCAAAGCTTACATCGATCAAGTGTGTTCCGACTTCTTCGGGCGTGAACTCGATGCGGAAGACTCCTGGCCGCTCAGCCACGTCGAGCACTCGAGCGGTCACGGGTCTCCGAGACGGGGCAGTCACCGAGACCCCCACCTGTCAGCCAAGACGATTAACTAAGGAATTGATGTATGACAAGCGCGGGCCATTCCGCTAACTTTTTATAAACCTATTTTATACATTATGTAAATACGCCTTTACATTTGTCTAACTTCAGTGCACTAAATGGAAAAGACCTTCATCATCATCATTATCAGCCTATCAATGTCCTCACTGCTGGAGCACAAGCTTTCCTTATGGATGGAATAGGAAGATTGGCCCGTGACACACCACGTGGGCCCAGGCTGATCGTTGGGTGCCTTTTACAGCACGGAAAATACCTAAATGGTAGTTATTAATGTCTCTATAACTTGCTTTTTCAACCTATGTATGAAAATTTTATAAAAAGTGTAAGAAGTTATCTGTTTAAATAAAGTTTTTTTTACAATCTAACGAAACTTATTTTCTCCATGTCTCAATTCAATTCAATATCCGAATCGATCCTCTGCAGTTCTTATTACTATCGGGTAAACAATATCTATTTTTACCCGCTTGTGTTCTATTTAGGTAGGTACTTACTTCATTTTTGTTGAAGGTGGCTGTCCCAGGCGCGGTGGCTATCTCGAAGACGGCCGGCACCCGCGCGGGGATCAGCCGGGTGGGTTCCCCGCCCCCGCCCGCCGGTCCCGCCATCACCTCAACCTTCCACGGGGACCCTTTAATCAAAACACAAACAAATTAGTCTCTAGGTATCTACTTCCATTCTAGACCTTGTTTTTGCAACCCTATATGTGTGTTAAGTAAGAAATGCACTTTTCCGATTTTTCCTTAATTTTTCCGCGTACTTACACCGATTTTTAAAAAAAGCACTACCTATTGTAAGATCGCTCTAAGCGATAAGTCCTCACTTAATAATATTTAAGGTATAATAGTGGATAAGCAAAATCGCTTAAACGCCATTTTGGTGCTGTTTAAAAATTAACGTAATTTCAGTTTTCATTTAATGTTAACTTTTAGGCAGCACCAAAGTGGCGTATAGGCTATTTTGCTTTTCCACTGTCGATATATACAGTGGTGGTCGTATAATTAGAAATACTACCAACGGCCCTTGACATTACATAAGATACTTCACCGCAATCGTTTTTATTTTGAAATTAAACAATAAATAGGACAGAAATAATATGTTCAACGATTTATCATTTATTAGAAAAACAATATAAATCCCATTACACAAGTGCAGTTTCAAATCAGTTAAATTACATATTGACAAAACATTTAAGTAAATCAGTTTTAAGGTATGAACAAACAATTATGGTCAAGTAATTAGAAACAACAATAAAAGTATTTTTTTAAGTATAAGCAATTACCTTGTATTGTTATTTACAAAAAATAGTTAATATCCACAGCCTACCAATAGTTATAATTAATATTTAGTGACGTATTTCCAATAACAGCACTGCAACGACGTGGCTTGATTCCATCAATTTCATACATTTTTCTAGAGTGATTGAATTCCATGCTTCAACAAATGCTTCATATAGTTCGTTTAGACTAAATGTACTTAGAAATTTTGTACGTTGAAGTTATACTTTCATTCATAAGAAGTGTTTCTAATTATTTGACCACCACTGTATATGGTGGTGTCATTAGTAAAGAGTTTTTTTATATGTATTGAATTTCGCATAACCCTTGACGTCTTGGAAACTTTTTGTGGTCATAAGACACTCAAACATGGGTCACGGAAGCAAGTAAAATAAAAAATAAGCGCTCTTTATTTATAAAAAACATATATTTTTAAAGATGTGCTTTTAATAATGGCCAAACCTGGCACTAATATTATTAAGGTTTATGTGTTTTCATATTTTGTTGATTATATGATTTTATTTTAAACTTATAAAAAACTAGTGGCCCGCCTTCGCTTCACTTCGGTGTAGAGCTATTCGAATTTTTCTTACCTTTTAAACCTTCCCTAGACCTCCACGAACATTACAAAACCAAGATAAGATAAATCCGTTCAGCCGTTCTCGAGTTTTAGCGAGACAAACGAATAGCAATTGTTTTTATTATATATACTGCTAAAAAGTAATTGGGCCAATATGTTTTAACAAATATTTGTACGTAGTGTTTTATTAGTATTTTTAAGAATTGATCCCGCGGTTTTAAACTGTACTTTGGACTCCCGACACGCATTTCCGGGACGGCGGTCCTCGGAATTGCGTGCCGGATGGCCGGTGCAGGCGTGTTCACTGGTTTTTACGGGGCCTCCTCATTTAATCGAGCTCCTGAGTTGGGTGAAAGGCTACGGAGGAGTCCTCGTCACACGCTCTCGGTGGCGAAGGAAGGAGCAAAGCCTTTTCCAGAAATGAAAAAAAAAGGATTGCCTCTGCCGTTTGACTCTGACGACGGCCATGTCTGGGGATTAAGATTTCCCCAGGTGGTTTTTAATTGCTAAGAAGATATTTAACATCTATTTAAGCAGCAGCAGGCAGCTATCTATATTTTTAACACAGAATTTAATATAAAAAAAACTTTTCGTTCCGTAAATAGTTGGCCTGCCTTTTCTGTATTTCATTTTCACCGTTCTTGTAGATAAATAACTCATTCCACTAGACTGGGAATTGCAAGGCGCAATGCGGCTGTTTTACAATTTAACCTAACTGAATAAGTACCTCCGAGTAGGGAAGAGCTGCTGGTTATGTGTTCTGGCAAAATTGTATTCATTTCAAATTAGCCATCACCGAAGAGGTAAGAACCCGGGTAATGAAAAGAAGTAAACATTTATCTTTGTCAGTTAATATAAGTTACGTTTATTTGGTCTTATTTCCATAAAACGAAACCTATAGAACTTATGGTTTGTTGATCTTGAATTGGTTACACCCAATTGATAAGAAAGGCAATTTTTTTGATGGAACTGTATGGGAAAGTAGAAATTGTATTCAAATCTTAACGTTAAGGTTTCCATTTCAGTATCATCACACCAGGCTATTCATCATAGCTTCATTACACAACAGAGAATTGTTATATTTAAACGTTTATTAATTAGATTATTGTATCTAAACTTTATTTCTATGTATTGGTTAAGTAGTTATGTAACGACTTCGAAGTCTGGTCAGGAAGTGTAGAAGAGCTCAGCGTCAGCGCTGAGTAACCAGGCTTGTAGTGCAGGTGAAAATGTCTTTATTTATAAGTTTTCTTAACTTCAAATACAGGATTCTAGGACCCGGCAGAGTTTCCCTGCTGGAAAGCAAAAGCCCAGTGCCACTGTCCTACTTTTTACTAAAAATGGATGCGTGTAACTTATGTACGCGCGTGACAAGTTATACTTCTTTAGCATCATTAAAAATATTTTTTAATTGCATGCAAATAATTAATAATTACAATAAAATAATAAAAGGACTGGAAAAGGATAGTTAACACAGTCAATCAAGTTCAGTTTTAATTTGAAAAATTAAATAAATATTCAAAATATTCAATTAAAATCACTACTGAATTTAAGTTATTAGTCCATATGTAATTAGCACTTGTAAGTAACTTAAACACGATGTGTCTATATAGAAACTAGAAACATGTGGATAAATATTATAAATATGAAAACAGTGATCATAACCGACGAGCGTGCCAACATTGTTTTTGACAACGCGATCATCTTATGGAGCTCCGTGGATCGTTCAAAATACCTTTCGAACAGATGTCTAATAATAATTAGACACTAACATTCATAACGCGCCCGCGGCCAACTTCATGGTGTTACTTTTGGGTTACAGTGATGCGCGCGCATCTAAAAATTTCACTCTCATCATTTTTTCATAACGCGCAACTTCAAAAAATGCGTTAATACTTTAAAGTATACGACGGAGAGACTACCGAGGATTCAGTTGCAGCCTCAATGCGTACATAAATTCCAGAGATCAGAAGTATCTGCCTCTGAATCTTCATCAAACTTTTTTTTGAGTGTGTATTCTGTTGGTCGCAGATGGCCTTTACAGCGTCACCGCCATATTGACGGTTTTACTTAATAAAATAAATGAGACAAATATGTAATGAAAATATTGGCATTGAATGTTAATAGTGTCGGATCCATTGAATTACGGAGAAAAAGAATAACATTCTTAACAAATGCGATAGATAAATTTGATTCATATTGGAAAAAATATGAGCGCAGAAAAATATATTAACAAGAAAAAATTGGAAAGTCATTTAAAAAAACAAGGTTCCTATGAAGAATCGATGCCTACATTTCATTCTCGCAGATATTGTCGCGATGAGAAGCTATTTGCTACTATTCTTATTTTTATTAATCCATATTGAACTATGAGGACAAAGCAGGTAATCTTGAAACTTCATCCAATCTTATGTGTTATGTCTCAAACTTTATGAAGTTCTACAATCCGCAGAAAATGAAGTTCCATTTTTAAGAAAATACGATAGAGCTATTGGCGTTGGCCATTATTTTTTAACGGCCAACAGTGTTTTGTGGTTTTAACTTACAAATAAAAATATGACGAAGGGAGGATGACTTCGAGTAACCTTTATGATGCATCGGTCAATACACCTTATAAGCTTATAAAGTCAGATTCACAAACGTCTCTCTTTTTGAATTTGTAATGATTCTTTTAATTACTTGAGGATATAATAATGTTAATTAAATTATTTTATTAATTCAATATCTTAATATTGAAATTTATTTGACACTCGGATTTGGGACATTTAACTTAATGGGCATTCAAGGATGGTTATGCTGTAAAGGGAGTGAGATATTGTGAAAGGCGTAGACCGATGTCAACGAAAATCAAAAGAAACAGACTAAATAATACATATCATCAAATATTTTGGTTCTTAAAGTAAAAAAGTCTTTACGGAGAAAAGAAACGAATGACATAAAGATGGAATCGATTAAGCTTTAAGTTTTAATATTTTTATTTTAAAGTTAAATAATGTGTAGAAAATAGCTTTCTAGACCTCTGTGTCAAGTATGTTTAATCAATATCTCTCAAGGTTTTTCTGTAACAATGCGGCAACAATTACTACGACGAAATTCTTAACTGTCATAATCCTTTATTTATCTCGTCAGCCGCTCGACATCTGACTAGCCTTTAAGCACACCTTTAGGACAGGTGTTCTTTCTTTCGCTAAAAGTCTATAAGTAACAAACAATGCTGTATGCATTTAAGTGAACATACCTAACATAAAAACATAAAAAAATACTTTAAATAAAAAATAAAGAAATCTGGGGAGAGCTGTTTGTTTGATTAAGTAGGAAACTTACTATTCCTCATGTAAGTTTTCGACTTTCGTTTGTTGTGTTCAACCAAATTGGTGGTAGTTATTAATTAAGTTTCAGTTAAAGGGGAGATCCAAGCAAACTGTTACCAGTTTTTCACATGTAGTATAAAAAGATAACACCGATGGTATTTTTGATATTTAACATAAAGTGTGAGAGTAAAATTAAGGTAAATTTAAATAAAAAAGAGGCGAACAACAAAATGAGCACTCAAAAACTTTAAGCAGAATAATCCGAAATTTTTCGAAACAAACGAAATTCCCTCTCTTTTTTTAAATTTACTTTGATCGTGTCCGATATGTCTTCGTTTGGTGAGTACAAATATTAAGTAGTAATCAAACATACAGGGTCAGCTTACGTTTGTGTTTGTTTGTGCGAATGAAAAGGGTGAGATCCCGTTTTAGATACCTCTGGTTTCCGAATAAGCGTATCGGT